GATGCGGGGACCGGGCGTGTGAATGGCAGTCGCGGGATGCGCGGTGCGGGCGCGGCGGGGTTGTCATGGGGGGGTCTGTGTCGGACGCGCGCCCCCCCCGTCCGCTAGGCAGAACCCCCTCCCGCCGCGACACGCTTGGACGTTCTTCAGATGCACAGGGTTTGAAGTCCGCGCGCGCTTAAGGGCCCCAAGTTTACATTGAAGCTTTTACCCCGCCCACGCGGTCGACCTTGCCCTTTGGGAGCTGCGGCAAGAGCTCGACGAAGAGCGCGAGCAAGTGCGCCAACTCGCGCCGCCGCGATGGGGCCGTCGCGCTGGCTCGCCGTCGCGCTGGCCGCGGCGCGGTCGGGCGCCATGGTCCACGACCTGAAGATCCACGGCGACGAGCGGAGCCTCTACCGCATCGAGTCGTTCTGCTTCCTCGAGGGCGGCGTGCTGGACCTGCGCGTGACGAACTTCAAGATCGACGCCAAGGGCCCCTTCCGCGCGGGCTTCGTCATGCGGCGGGCGTCTTCCGAGTCCGCGGCGCAGCAGGAGCTCGAGGAGAGCCTGGAGGCGAACGCGTGTTTGCTCGACTGGGGCACGGGCAACGAGGGCGATTTGGCCGGGGGCGACACGGTCTTCGAGCTCGACATGAGCGACCCGACGCAGTGGCGCGGCGAGCTCGTGCGGCAGCACCGCATCGAGAAGGCCGAGGAGGGGCTCTACAGCCTCATCTTCGTCCGCTGCGAGCCGTCCGAGGGCCGCGCGTCCACCTCCTTCGACCTCGAGGCCAAGTTCTACAACAAGGGCCCGTCCTATTTGAGCGCCTGCGAGGCGCCGCTGCCCATGCTCTTCGCCGTCTTCTTCGGTTTGTTCCTGGCGACGTCCGTCCTCTGGGGCGCCGTGCTCTGCTCGGGCGCCAAACAGGGCGAGGCGGGCACGCGCGTCCACGGCATCCACAAGCTCATGGGCGCGCTCCTGGTCCTCAAGTCGCTGACGATGATGAGCCAGGCCATGCGCTACCACTTCATCAACGTGACGGGCAGCGGCGAGGGCTGGGAGGTCGTCTACTACGTCTTCGCGTCCGCGAAGGGCGTCATGCTCTTCGTCGTCATCCTCCTCATCGGCACGGGCTGGAGCCTGGTGAAGCCCTACCTCAACGACCGCGAGAAGAAGATCGTCCTCGTCGTCCTCGTGCTCCAGGTCGTCGACAACGTCGCGCTCGTCGTCTTCGAAGAGACGGCGCCGGGGTCGCAGCGGTGGCTCACGTGGCGCGACGTGCTCCACCTCGTCGACATCATCTGCTGCTGCGCCATCCTCTTCCCCATCGTCTGGTCCATCCGCCACCTCCGCGAGGCCGCCGCCGCCGACGGCAAGACGCGGAACAACATCGCGAAGCTCACGCTCTTCCGCCAGTTCTACATCATGGTCGTCACCTACATCTACTTCACGCGCATCGTCGTCTTCCTCCTCGCGGCGACGCTCCCCTTCCAGTGGCTCTGGCTCCGCTACGTCTTCTCCGAAGGCGCGACGCTCCTCTTCTACGTCGTCACGGGCTACAAGTTCCGCCCCGCGGAGGACAACCCCTACCTCCCCCTCAAGAAGGGCGACGGCGACCTCGAGGAGTTCGGCATCGACGACGACGAGGACAACGACCCGGAGCTCCAGAAGGCGAAGGAGTTCGAGCTCGCGCAGCTCGACGACGCGTAGGGGCGCGCCGAGTCCGAGCCTAAAAAAACGAGTCCGCTAATACACGACCTGGAGGGAGAGGGAGATGAGCACGGTCATGGTGAGGATGGAGGCGGCGTACTGGAAGACGAAGAGGAAGGAGATGTCCGCGGCCGCGCGGCTCATGCCGAACTTGTGGAGCAGGATGATGAGGATCTGCGCGCTCGGCATGCCGCTGGACACGTGGAGGATGAGGCGGCCGATGGGCTTCTGGGGCAGGGCCCGGGGCAGGAGCGTCTCGAGGGCGACGACGGTCGCGGGGACGAAGACGAGGCGCACGAGGATGAAGCCCGCGACGATGGGCCGGACGCCCCGGAGCGCGTCGAGCGCCGACTTCTTCGCCGGCGGCGCCGCCTCGACGAGCTCCGGGTCCGCGGCCGCGAGCGCCTTGGCCTCCTCCTTCGGGCCCGCGACCGCGGCGTCGTCGCTGCCGATGCTGTCGAACTCGACGTTCGCGAAGGACGCGCCCGTGATCAAAATCGCCAAACACACCACCGGCGACGCGAGCAGCTCGATCGTGCCGCCCAGCGCCCGCAGCGGCGACGTCCGCGAGACGAACAGCGCCTTCTGCAGCGGCCGCGCCATGCCCACGGCCGTGCCGACGACGAGCGCCGCGTTGACGGGCTCCGAGAAGAATTTCACGAGCGGCCCGCCCCGCGGCGGCGGCGGCCGCGGCGCGTCCCCCGCGCCGCCGCGCCGCGCCTTGATCGCCGCGAGGCGCGCGACGCCGAAGGTGAAGAAGACGATGGACCAGACGAACGAATTCATGAAGATGAACGCCGCGCCCGTCTTCGCGCACTCGTCGCGGTCGTCGAAGTCGTCCCGGACCTCGTCGCGCTCGCAGACCGTCGCGACGATCACAAGAGGCACGGCGACGATGTTCGGGAACCCCGACGCCAGCGCCGCGACGCGCCAGAGCGACGTCTCGCGCAGCTCCGCGGGCAGCACGACGGCGCCCCAGAGGCGCGCGTAGCCGAGGCCGAGGCCGATCGTGACCAGGCCGTAGACGACGAGCGCGACGGACTGGCGCAGGAGCTCGACCGACACCGACGACCCGATGGAGTCGACGATGATGCACGGGATGAGGCACACGGCGCTGAAGCGGCTCAGCTGCTGGATCGCCGCCTCGGGCAGCAGCGGCGGGCCGCCCTTGGGCCGCGTCGCCGCGTAGGCGCCGACGGACGCCACGAGGAGCAGCCGCACCATGACGCCCAGCGAGATGAGGAAGATGTCGCCCTCGATCATGATCGATGGAACGTTCGAGCGCGGCGGGCGCTGCGAGGCGGCTCAGTCACGAAGCTTCACAAGCCATCATCGTCAGGCTTCCTCCACTTCATCTCGACTGCACGACTTCAACGTTGCCGTTAGCTAGGAGCGGCGACGTGTCACGCGAAGCTCACAGGTCATCGTGGTCATCGTCATGGCTCGAGCTGCATCAAGGCTGCATCTTGACTGCACGACTTCAACGTGCCGTTAGCTGGAGCGGATGCGTCCTCCCTCCGGTCGTCTCTTTACACGAAGGTCCCTTACGACTCGAAGTCCCGGTCTCTCTTAGCCCTCCGGGACCGGCGCGCCGCCGCCGCAGCCTCCCCCGCCGCAGCCGCCGCCGCCGCAGCCGCCGCCGCCGCAGCCGCCGCCGCCGCAGCCTCCCCCGCCGCAGCCGCCGCCGCCGCCGCCGCCGCCGCAGCCCGCCGCCGCGGCGCCGCCGCACGCGCCGCCGCCGCAGGACGCGCACGCGCCGCCGCCGCAGGACCCGCAGGCCGCGGCGGCCCCGCCGGCGGCCGCGCTCCCGCGCGCGGCCCGCGCGTGCGCCTCGCGGTCGGCCTTGACCTTCGAGAAGTCGCCGGACGCGAGGAGCGCCTCGAGCTCCTCGACGGCGTCCGCGCGCTTCTTGATCGTCGTCTTCGAGTAGACGAGGCTCATCCTCTTGGCCGTCTTCGCCTTGCCCTTGGCGTAGGTGAGCTTGCTCTCGAGCCGCGTGCGGAGGAGCGCGTCGCCGAGCGCCGTGCCGATGCGGTAGTAGCCGTCGCCCGACGCGCCGGCGCCGAAGACGTAGCCCTCGCGCAGCGGGTTCGCTTGCGTGCCGCGCGCGACGGTCTTGCGGTCCGCGGCCGCGATGAAGTCGGGCGCCTCCCGGATCTGCCGCGTCACGCCCGTGGCGACGTTGACTTGCCGCCGGAGCCGGAGGTCGACGGCGTAGGTCTGGCCGTTGCCGCCCGTGTAGCGCACCCCGGTCACGCCCGCGAGTAGCGCCTCGTTGACGGCCGCGTTCGACACGGCGTCGTAGCGCTCGAATGCCCCGAGTTGCCCGGCGAACTCCCACCAGGGCAGGCCCGCGCGGTGCACGCGGCGCGTCGTGCCCGTCGCCGCGTTCGTCTGCGTCCAGTGGTCGAGGTCGACGATGTAGGTCGCGCCGGCGGCCGGGAGGTGCACCGTGCCCCGCGGCGGGACGGGCTTGGCGCGGAAGGCCTGCTCGAGCGAAGCCTGGGCCCCGCCGTCGAACGCGCACCAGGCCCCGTCGTGTTTGTAGGACCACGTCGGCGCGTACGCAAAGGTAGGGGGCGTCGACGACACGACGGCAGCGCCGGAGACGGGGGCCGCGCCGGGATTCCGGCGGATCGCGCGGCGGAAGCCCGTGGCGACGTTCGTCTGCGTGAGCGCCCAGGGGTCCGCGGCGTAGGTGCTCGCGCCGATGCGGATCGTCGCCGTGGACCCGGCGCCTTGCCCTTCGGCCTGGTCGATGGCCGCGGAGCTCGCGGCGTCGTAGGGGATCCAGCCGCCGGCGTCGTCGGCGCACTCCCAGCCGCCGGCGCGGAAGGGGGTGGCGCCGTTGTCGCCGGCCGCGACGGGCACGGCGACGGCGAGCGCCGCCATGTCCCCGGCGACCTGATCGACGACGGGCACGGCGACGGCGTCGACCGTCGACGGCGCGCCGCCGCCGGCGCGGTCCTCGTCGCCGCCCATGGCCTCGCGGAGTAGCCGCCAGCGGAGCTCCGCGCGCTCCGCGTCCACCGGGAGCCAGTCGGCGTCGCCGTACTCGAGCGGCGGCTCGCCGCGGTACATGGCGCCGTCGACGGCGTAGGCCTCGCGGCGCGTCGCCGCCCAGAGCGCGCACGTGCGCCGGAACTGCACGTTGAGCTTCGTCTCGGGCGTCGACCGGTCGTTGACGCTGTCGTCGTGCGGCAGCACGAAGCCGCCGAGCCGCGCCGTGTCCGCCGCGTAGGCGGCGCCGGAGTCGAGGATGTGCGTGTGCCAGAAGAGATCGATCTGGTACGTGGGCACGAGGAACTCGCCGCGGCGCATGAGCCGCAGGAAGTGCTCGTAGCGGGCCGCGCCGTCGCGGAGGAAGCTCTCGTCTTCGTAGCGCTCCCCCGACACCTGCCAGAGGAACGTCTTCTGCCGCGCGCAGCTCGCGACGACGTCGAAGCCGTCGAGGACGAGCGCGCCGGGTTCGCCGCCCGCGTCGGTCGCGGCCTCGGTCCAGCGGAACGCGAGCGACTTCGCGTCGGGAAGGCCGAGGCGCGCGGCCGTGCGCGCGTAGGACAGGGGCGCGAGGCGGTGGCAGTGCCAGACCCACGCGCAGTCGAGCGGCGGCGGTTCGAGCGCTTTGCTCGCGAGCCAGGCCTCGTAGTGCTGGAGAGTAGTCTTGGAGGGCGGCTGCAGTGAGATATTGGCTTTATGGCAAGCGCGAAGGAAGGCGACGTGTTTTTTCGACGCAGCGACGAGGTGGTCGATGTCGAGGCCCTTTATATGCTTATTTATTTGGATGTCCAGGCCCTTTAGACGCTCGTCCATTTGAGGCTTAGCATTCTCCATCAACACTGCTCTACCGCGGCGGCCAAAGCAGCCCTTCACAACATCTTCAACGACTTCACGATGCGGGCGAGCTTTGGCCTCGCTGCCGCAAATTCAGACGCGCCAGTTGCGGGCGCGGCGCGCGCGCGTCGCAAAAACAGTTGCGGGCGAGGTACGCGTGCGTCTCGTAAAAGCGGTATGGCCGCCGTGTCCACGATCCCCTCGGAGTACCTCGAGGACGTCTCTGACGAGCGGAGCCTCGGCGCCGTGAGCAGCCTGTCGTCGGAGGACGACGTGACGACCGTCGAGCACAACAGTTTGGACTGGTACGCCGTGGTCCAGCGCACGGCGAAGCAGCGGCTCCAGGACCTGCACAAGCACAAGGCCAGCGCGCCCGCGGCCCAGAACGCGGCCCTCCGGCGCGAGGCCGCGACGCCGACCATCGTCACGGTCGTGCGGCCGTCGAAGGAATCCGGCGCGGCCAAGTCCGAGTGGAAGACCGAAACGTCGACGACGCTCGACGTCGCACTGGGCCCCGGGCGCCTCGGCGCGTCCTGGCGGCGCACCTTCCCCGTGGCCTTTGGCGTCGGCGTCGGCGGCGGGACCGGGCCGGACGCGGGGAAGCTCGACGCCGCGTCGAGCAGCGGCTGCGAGGCGCTCGTGGCGCCGCTCGTCGCCGCGCTCTGCCCCGGCCTGAGCGGCGCGCTGGACGGGTCGCTGCCCCGGGGCGCGGCGACGACGGTGCTGGCCGTGGGCAGCGCGGCGGCCTGCGAGGAGTGCGTCTTCGGCGCCGCGCACGACGACGCGGGCTTCGGCGGCGTCGCGGCGCGGGTCATCGAGGACGCGGGGTCGCGCCTCGGCGGCCGCAAGGCGGGCCTGGAGCGGGGCGACGCGTCGCAGACGGGGGGGCACCCGCTCGTGCTGGGCGTCGTCGCCGTCGACGCCGCGGGCGACGTGCTGGACCTCCTGCCGCCGTCGGACCACGCGGACGCGCGCGGCGTCGGCGGCGGGTCGCGGGCCATGGGCCGCAAACGGGTCCGGCGCCTGCTGAACGCGGCGCGGGCGAACCTGCTCCACCTCGGCCTCAAGGAGCCCGCCCACGTCGTCGCGACCGTCGACGTCAAGTCGGACGTCCGGAGCCTCGCGGCGCCGGGCTCGACCGCGGCGCGCCGCGTCCACGTCGTCCACGTCGCCGCGCCGCCCCGGAAGCGCTTCGAGGAGACGGAGGCGACGGGCGGCGCCCAGCTCGCGAGCCTCGCGGCGGCCCTGCGCCACGCCTTCGGGCTGGACGCGGACGACGCGCCGCCGCGCGAGGACGCGCTCGCGCGCTTGCTCCACGGCACGTCCGTCGCGCCGGACGCGGCGCCCGTCGTCGCCACGTGCGTCGGTTTAGGGCCCCGCGAGCTCGACGCGGCGCTGCCCTGCCTCGAGTGGGGCGCGCTGTCGTCGCGCGACGACGCCGCGCGGCGCCGCGCGCTGTCGGCGCGCGCCGTCGCCGCCGCGTGCGACGAGGCCGCGGCCGACGCGGCGGCGCTCGCGGCCGTCGTCGCGGAGCTGCGGCCGCCGTCCGTCGCGGAGATCGAGGCGCGGGACCGCCAGCCCCGCAAGAAGTCGCCGGAGCAGGCGTCGCCGCCGAAGTCGCCGCCGACGTCGCCGCCGAGGGTCGCCGCGCCGATTCGACCGGACCCGGACGTCGCCGCCGTCGACGCCTTGGTCGCGCGCGAGCGCGAGGCCGCCGCGGCGTCCTTAGAGCGCGCCATCGAGGAGACGCGGGCCCAGCGCGACGCCGAGCGGGCCCTGCGGGACCTGCGGGAGGCGCTCCACGACGCGGAGCGCGAGCGGGACGCGGCCGTCGCGGACGCTAAGCAGGAGGCCGACGCGCGGCGCGCCGAGGCCGAGGCGCGCTTCGCGGCCGAGGCCGCGGAGCTCGAGTCGTCGGCGGCGGCCCGGAGCCTGGAGGCGCGCTTCGAGGCGCTCGAGCTCCAGCTCGAGGGCGCGGCGAACGTCGCCATCGAGGCCGCGTCGCAGGCGGCCGCGGCGACGGACGCGCGCGACGCCGAGGCCGCGGCCGCGCTCGCGGCGCTGAACCTCGCGGCGCTGCAGCAGCGGCAACTCGTCGTCGTGCCCGAGCCGCCGGCGTCGCCGACGCGGAGCGTGTCGACGGCCGCGCAGTACTCGCCGCCGGGCCCGCCCGCGGTGAAGCGCGCGTCGCCGCGGTCGGCGCCGCCGTCGTCGCCGGGCGCGTCGTCCGTCAAGAGCGGCCTCTTCGACGACAAGGGGTCTCTGGATTCGGAGCTCGTGCACACGTCGCTCCACTCCCTCGAGCGGCGCGCCCAGCTGCTGGAGCAGGAGCTCGAGCGGAGCCGCGCGGAGGCCGCGCGGCAAGCCGTCGAGCTCCGGCGGCGCGAGGAGCTCGCGGGCCGCGACCGCGACCGCGCGGAGCAGGCCGTGCTGCGCGAGAAGGCGGCGGCGGAGGCGCGCGTCGAGGAGCTGCGGCGCGCCGCGTCGCGGGAGCTCGAGGACTCGCTGCGCGACGTCCACGGCGCCGTCGCGAAGCAGGCCGACGCCGCGCGCGCGGCGCTGCGCGACCTCGCCGACGAGCGCGACGCCGCCGTCGAGGACAAGGCCAAGCTCGTGGCGGCGGCCAAGGCGGAGCGCGACGCCCTCGAGCGCGAGCTCCGGGACGCGCGCGCGGCCGCGGACCGCGAGCGGGCCGTCGCGGACGCGACGCGCGCGGACGCGGCGGCCGTCGCCTACGGCGAGCGGCTCCGGGCGTCGGCCGAGGCCGAGCGGCGCCGCGCGGAGGCGACGGCCGCCGCCGCCGCCGTGGACGTGGCGCCCGCGGCGCCCGCGCCCGAGGCGCCGCCCGCGCCGCCCGCGGACCTCGCCGCGCCGCCGCCGCCGCCCTTCGGCGACGACGTCTTCGGGCGGTCGGCGCCGCCGTCGCCCGCGCGCCGCGAGGTCCTCGCCCTCGAGAGCGCCCTCGTGTCGCGGGAGCGCGAGATCAGCGAGCTCCGCGCGTCGAGCCGCCGCGAGGCCGCGGCGTTGTGGCTCGCCGTCGGCAAGGCCGAGGACGCGCTCGCGGCGACGACGCGCGTCGCCGGCGCGGCGACGGCGCCGCCGCCGCGCGCGAACTGGGACAGCGACGGGTCCAACTACTCGCTGCTCAGCGACGGCCGCCGCCCCGCGCGGTCGCCGCCGCGCCGCCGGTCCGCGGGCGGCCGCCGCCGCGCGGACCGCGACGACCTCGACGACACGGACGACGACAGCGCCCTCGACAGCGTCGTCTCCGAGCTCGACGACCTGGACGCGCGCCTCGCGCGCCTCCGCCGCGGCCGCGGCGCGCCCGCGCCGCGCGGCCGGCCCGGGCTCGAACCCGTGGCGTCCGACGATCACGGCGCGGGGCTCGACGAGTTGGACGCGCCGCCGCCGCCGCCGCCGCCGCGCCGCGTCGAGGACGCGCGGCCGCCGCCGCCGCGCCGCGGTGCTCCGGCCGCGCCGCCGCCGCGGCGCAAGGACCCCGTGCCCCGCGTCGAGCGGACGAACCGCGACGTCCTCGAGTTCCTCGAGCTCTCGAGCGACGCGCGGGGCCGCCGCAGCGCGCCGCCGCCGCCGCCGCCGCAGCGCGCCCAGAGCCCGCGGCGCCTCTCGCCGACGCGCGTCCTCGACGACGCCGCGCCGGACCCGCGGCCGGGCGGCTCGCGGTCGTCGCGCGGGCCGCCGTCGTCGCGCGCGTCGCCGAGCGCGTCCTCCGCCGTCCAGAGCGCGACGCGCGAGAGCCGCGCGGCGCGCCGCGAGCGCATCCTCGCGGAGCGCAAGGCGAAGCGCCGCGGGACCTTCAACGCGGCCCACTACCCGGGCACGCTCCGGTCCTCCGCGTCGATCACGTCCTCCCGCTGATCCCGGCGCGCCGCGCCGGATGTTCCCCTAGTCCCCTAACTTGCCTGCGTTGAAAGCAGCCTACTATCAAAATCGCTTACAGGTCAGCCTTCCTCTTCTTCGCCTTCTTCTTCTTCTTCTTCGGCGCCTTCGGCTTCACGTAGTCCGGGATGTCGTCCTGGACGGCGTCCGGGTTCTCGTAGTCGACGTTGTCCCAGGTGACCTTCATGACCGTCTCGCGCGTGAGCAGGAAATCGATGACGTCCTGGCCGTACCAGCCGTACGTCGTCGTCACGAGCAGCCGCCGCGGGTCGATGCGGTACGCGCTCAGGTTGATGCCGCCCGTCTTCATCAGCGCGGAGATGAGGCCCGCCTCCTTGTTCTCCGCGGCCTCGTCCCAGGGCGTGCCGTCCGCCTGGTTCGTGATGAGCGTGATGAAGATCATCGCCGAGCCCGCGTTCGACTGCTGGTGCGCCAATTTCGCCTGGACGGCCTCGGGCGACATGCCCTGGAGCGCCTCGAGGTCGATGCCGCCGGGCCCGCTGGGGGCGTTGGCCCGCCGCCGCGCCAGCGCCTCCTCGTAGAACTCGTGCTCGCTCTTCAGCTCGTCGGCCTCGTCTCCTTCCTTCCACTCATTCTCGACGGCGTCGAAGTCGATCTTGCTCCAGTCTTTCGTCGTTTTCTTGACGGCGCCGACTGATGCGAAGAGGAGGACGAGGCATAGCGATCGAGCCATCGCGCAGCGACGCGGCAGCGACGCGCGGCACACCCTCCTGATGGTAGTGGCAAAGTCGAAGTTGGCGAGCGCTTACAGTGCCTTGACGGTGAGGTTAAGTTTTTTTTTTGGTTCGGGCAGCCTCGCGCTCGCGCTTCGCCCCCTCACTGCCCGGGCGGGCGTCGGGTCGGCGCCATGGCGTCCCGCGGGCTGCTCTCGTCGTTGCCCATCGAGACGCAGCAGGAGGTGCGTCACACGAGAACCGGCCCCACACTCCACCCCCAAACGCGCGTCGTTCGCCGCCCCCGTCCTCACGCGCGCGCGTCCGCAGATGATCAAGTTCATGAAGTTCTTCAAGGAGAAGCGGGAGCACACGCTCGTCGCCATCGACGGCGACTTCGACGACACCGTCGAGGACCGGCTCCGGAGCATGGACCCGCCGTACAGCTTCGACGACGTGTCGAGCGCGCTGGACCACCTGCAGATCTGCGTCAAGGACGGCGTGCGCGCGGACCTGTCGAAGATGCTCGGCATGAACGTGCTGCTCATCAAGAACCTGCTGGAGACGGCCGACGCCCAGGGCCTGACGCTGCACGTCGACACGTCGATCGTCGAGGACGAGGCCCTAATCCAGGAGGTGGACAAGATCCGCCTCGACGCGCCGCCGCGCGCGGAGCCCAAGGGCCTCCAGGCCCGCAACCTCAAGAGCCTCAAGGACGAGCAGAAGGAGCTCAGCGACCGGAACAGCTCCCTCGAGGACAGCAACAAGACGCTCCAGCAGCGGTTCAACGCGCTCCAGCAGCAGTGCGCGTCCGTCCTCCGCGAGAAGGGCGACCTCGCCGAGGAGCTGCGCCAGTGCAAGCGCCAGCTCGAGGCCCAGAACTCGTCGTCCGCGGCCCAGGCGAAGCGCGACCGCGACGAGCTCGCCGGCGCCAAGGGCGCGATGGAGGAGGGCGGCGCGCAGCTCGCCGGCATCCGACGGGAGCTCGCGGAGACGAAGCACCGGCTCCGCCAGAGCGAGGACGACCTCGAGGCCAAGCTCACGAACTCGCGCCAGTTCTCGGACCTGAAAAAGCAGCTCCAGAAGAAGAACGCGCTCGTCTCCGACCTCCGCGCGCAGCTCGCGAGCCTCGGCGTCACCGACGGCCTCGACGCCGACGACCGGGTCCGCCGCTAGGAGCCGCGAAGCCGCGCCGGCGCGCCGGAGACGCGCCGCCGCGGCGAGCCGCTCGTAAGGGGAGGGAGACCGTGCTATGGTTGAACTGCACCTTGAGGTGTTCGAGTGGGCTGCCGCTGATGGGCCTGGGTGGTCTTCGTCGAGTGGCTTAATGTCGCGATGCGTCTTCGTGGCCGTGCAGGACGGCAAGACCTTCAAATTCCTGCTGAAGAAGAAGACCGTGGCAGCGCGGCTGGTGCAACGCGTCGCCGCGCAGACGGGACTCGAGGTGAAACATGTTGTTTTGGAATGCGCAGAAAGGGCTGTGGCCGATGACGAGGATCTCTTCGCGGGCGGCGGCGACGATGCATTCATGACCCTGAAAACATCGAGCGCAGCGTCTGAGCCCGAACCCGCGGCGCCGTCCGAACCCGCGGCGCCGCCCGAGCCGAAAACCGCCGCGCCGTCCGAACCTGCCGCGGCGTCCAAACGTGAAACCGCCGCGTCGCCCGAGCTCGATACCGCCGCGCCTCGACGAGCCGCCAAGAGCAGCAAGGCGTCGTTCGCGGGCCTCGCCTCCGGGTTCTTCAAACCGGAGACGTCGAAGCGATCGAAGCCGCAGCGATCAAAGCCAGCGCCGAAGCCAGCGCCGAAGCCAGCGCCAGCGCCGAAGCCGGCGCCGACGCCAATACCGAAGCAACTACCGAAGCCAGCGAGTCCCCGCCCGCCGCCCCTGCCGCTGCCGTGGAGGGCGTCGCTGGGCTCGGAGCGCGAGCGGACCGTGTTTCGGGAGCAGCTCGCGCTCGGCAACGGCGACGCGGTCGCCCGGGAGCTCCACGCGTGGCGCTCCGGCGACGCGAGCCTGTCCAAGGCCGCGGTCATGCAGGCGCGCATGCTCGACGGCTTCGGCGTCGACGCGGCGCCGTTCGGCGGCGGCTACCGGCTCGAGGAGGCCGGCGCCTGGCAGGGCCTGCTGCACTTCTACGGCGTCGTCAAACAGAGCCTCGAGACCCAGAGCGTCAAGGCCTGCGGCAAGACCCTCGACGACGTCACGCGCGGCGACGAGGACGCGCTCTACGACATCCACGACCAGTGCTTCACGACGGCGATCAACATGCTCTTCGCGACCTCGCGCCTCGGCTCCGACGACGGCAATAGGTCGGTCGACGCGTCGGCCTTCGTCGACGACGGCGCGGCGCTGGTGCGGTCCCAGCCGGGCTTCGCGGCGCAACTGCGGAAATCGGGCTACGTCGTCGTCGACGGCGCGCTCGACGCCGGCGCCGTCGCCGCGCTCCGGTCCGACCTGGAGACCGCGCGGAACGCCGGCCTCATCGCGCCGCCGGACCAGCAGCGCCAGAGCGGCACGCGCGGCGACGCCTACGGCTGGGTCCACGAGGACGATACGGAGAAGCGCGGCCTCGGCGCGCTCGCGGCGACGATCCGCAAGCTCAAGGGCCTCGCCGCGGTGCTCAACGCCGTCGGCTACCACGGGTCCCCGCTCCACGTCGACGAGAACGCGCTCGGCACGCGCTACCCGGGCGCCGTCGACGACGACGCGGCGCCGTACCGCGGGTATCGGATCCACCAGGACAACGCGTGGAAGGAATCCTGCGGCGCGTCGACGAACTCGCGCGTGGTCACGGCCATCGTCTACGCGAACGGCGACTGGGACGAGGGCGACGACGGCGGGGAGCTGCTCATCTACCCCGACACCGCGCGGCGCGAGGAGCTCAACGCGGGCGAGCTCGCGCGCGCCGTCGAGGTCGCGCCGCTGGGCGGGCGCCTCGTCGTCTTCGACAGCTACCTCTGGCACGAGGTCCTCCCCCCGCGGAAGCCGCGCTACGCGTGCACGCTGTGGCTCACGGACCCGGCCGCGCCGCGGATCTAACCGAACTCGGAACTAGCAAGGTGTAAGGGCGCGAGGGGCGCTCGCCGCGGCGCGGGGGGGCGCGCGGGCGAGCGGGGGGCGGCGGCGCGGCGGACCCGCGGCCGCGCGGGGTCCGACCGGCGGCGGGCGGGGGGCTAGGGCGCGACGGAGCCGTTGGTCGCGGACGCGGCCGCGTTGACGGAGCCGTTGGCCGTGCCCACGGGGAGGCCCAACAGCATCTGCGGCGCGGCGTCGAGGGACGCCTTGGCCGCCGGCGACGTCATGAGCTTCCGCAGCGTCTCGATGTCGAGCTCGACGTCCGCGCCGTAGACGGAGCTGAGGACGATCCACGCGGGCTTGGTGACGAGGTCCCAGGCGCCCTCCGTGTCCGCGTCGTTGTCGAGGCACTCGCGGAGGCGGATGGCGCCCGGCCCGAGGGGGTCCGGCGCGGGCCCGCGGCCGCGCCGCGGCGTGATCGACGCGACGAACTGCTTGACCCACTTCGCGGGCACGGCGTGCGCGACGTGGCCGCCCCAGGACACGACGATGTTCCGCACGACGCGCATGTCCTCGCGGTGGAGCCGCAGGAGCAGCTCCGCGTCGAGGTCGATGAACGCGAGGACCTCGGGGTCGTAGACGCGCCGCGCGCGGAACCAGTCGATGGCTTGCGACAGGTACGCGCGGAGCTTGAACTTGGCGTCCGTCAGCGCCAACGACGCCGCCGACGCCTTCTTCGAGTCGCGCTGCGACGCCTCGACGCCCAGCAGCCCGCCGAGAAAGGCCTGCGCGCCGCCGCCGGCCTGCGGCGCGGCCTTGGCCGCGCGGTCGATGTCCGCGGCCGTCGGGAGCGACGGCAGGGACCGCGCGCACGTCGGCACGCGCCGGGCGAGGCTCTTGTGGAGCGCGTGGAACTCGGTCAGGGTCCGCGCGAGGACGAAGCGCGTCGTCGAGAACTTGACGGCGACCTCGAACTCGGGGTTCGCCAGCGACTCGTCGTCGCCCGGCGCGGCCCGCACGTCCGCGTGGAGCATCGCGCTCACCTACGGTCAGACCTTCTTCGAAGACGCAGGGACGTGGCTCTTCCGCGCGGGCGCGCGCCGGGGGCTTCGCCTCGTCGAACGTGCGGCCGCCGTCGCTGCTGCACCGGAGCTGCGGCAGGAAGTCGTCGGGCGCGAAGCCGGGCACGGGCTCCCGCGTCGCCCGCAGGCCCTCGAAGGCCGCCTCGACGTCGCAGAAGCTGCCCGCGCCGCGCCGCATGAGCTCGCTGCGGTCGTTCCACGGCGTCGCGGGGCCTGCCGGGGGCTCGGGGCGTGCGCATCGCCGCCCCCCGGGGCGGGACGCCGCGGGGACGCGCCGACGAGGCGGCTGAAGACGAGGGCCGCCTTGATGTACGCGCGGCGGCGCTCGAGGTAGCTCGCGTCCGGCGAGTGGAGCCCGAGAATCTCCGCGCAGCGCTCCGGCGCGAGGACCTGCGGTCGGGGGTTACGAGGGCCCCGCCCCGGCGCGCGGGACGCGCGACGCACCTCGATGACGCCGTTGTCCTCCTCCGAGTTCCCTTCCATGCCCGGCTCGTTGTAGACATCGGCGGAGCAGGCGCAGGCCAGGAGGTCCGACATGGCGACACACGCGCGGCCCGCGGGGGTGAGCGCGTCGCCCGCGCGCCGCGGACCCGCCGCGCGCCAACCGGGGCCGCCCGCGCCTCCCGACCGCGGGGATTTCGGCCCGCGTGAGCCAACAGATTGGCCACCCGGGCTGCCCGGCGCGGGATTTTTGGGTATAGTTGAAACCGTGAACCCGGGGCGCGGTGAAGCCAATGTTTTAGCGGCGCCGCCGGAAGACGCGGCCGCCCTCGTAGGCGTCGAGGGCCGCCTGGACGGCGGCCCGCTTCGCCGGGTCCTTGGTCTTCCTGAGCCGGTCCCGGAGGCCCCGGGCCTCCTTGGCGGCGGGCACGGCGCCGCAGTACTGCTTCTTGAGCTCGAAGTGGGGCCGCGCGCGCTCCGCCTCGCACGCGGGCCACCGCGACCCGCGCGCGCGGCGCTCGAGGTCGCGCACGAGGAGCGCCAGCGCCCCGCCGTTGGGAAACACGCCGGCGAGGAGCGGGTCCTCGTCGCCGTAGTCGCCCGTCGCGTAGTAGCGGTAGGCCCACGCCGCGGTCGCGCCGGCCTCCCGGAACGCCGCGAGGCCGCGCCGCGCGGCCCCCAGGATGCCCAGGAGCGGGAAGGCGTCGGCGTCGTCGCGGCCCGCGTGGTGCGCGTGGCCCGCGTCGGCCTTCGTGTTCACCGTCGTCTGCTTGTCCGGGTCCGCGTCGAATTTCAACAGGCTCGCCTCGGAGACGTTGAGCGCGAACGCGGCCGGGTCCAGGTCCCCGTCGAGGCCCATCTCGTTCGAATACGCCCAGAGCGCGTCGTCGCTGACGACGACGGGCACGCAGCCCGCGAGCAGGGCGTCGTACTGGCGCTTCGCGGACGGCGAGTCGCCCTCGGGGCACGGGCAGAAGTCCGCGAGGTGCATGAGGGCCTGGCGGGGCACGCGGAGCGCCTGGGTCCGCAGCTTCGTCAGCGCGTCGTCGGCGCCGTCGACGGCGCGGTCCCGGAGCACGAAGCCGCCGTCGCCGACGCCGCCCTGGTCCAGCGACGCGTCCGCGAACTCCGCGGCGATCGCGCGGCGGACGTTGACGCAGCCGTGGTCGCCCGCGCGGTAGTAGGCCGCGAGGGGCCGGCTGCTCTCGACGGACGGGAGCGCCGGGCCGAAGACGGAGAGCGCGGCCTTGCGCGCCTTGCGCGCCCACTGGCCGTCGTGCCACGCGCGGCCGGGGATCGGGTACGGCGCGACGACGTTCTTCCGCCCGCAGGCCGGGTACTCGGCGACGAAGCTCCGCGAGAGCTCCAGGGAGATCCAGATGGGCGCGTGGAGCTGCTGGAGGTAGTGGGTCCAGCCGCGTCCGCCCTTGGGGTGGCGGAGGCCCGTGACCGGCGCCGGCTGGACGAGCACGTGGTCGCCGCCGCCGCGGCGCGTCCAGTACTCGCCCGTGACGTTGAAGGTCCGCTCCCAGGCCGTCGTGTCCCGTCTCTCCAAGATGTCGAGGAGCGCCGCCTCGTAGGCGCTCGGCTTGTCGCCGCGGCCCGTCTCCCGATAGAGCACGTCGCCGTAGTGGGGCACGAAGAACAGGTCCGCGGCCTCCGGGTCCCGCGTGCGCACGCAGGCCTTGGTGAAGAAGTCGTGCAGGATGAGCTCGAGGGAGAACTGGGCCAGGAGGTGCTCGCCCGCGTAGTGGTTCGCGCAGCGGTCGTCCTCGCGGCACCGCTGCCGCATCTCCTTCGCGTGCCGGTACCAGGCCATGGACTCGACGCCCGGGTACTCGTAGACGTAGACCTTGAGGTCCGACGGGCAGGGGCCCGCGCCGCTCAGGTCCCAGGCGCGCATCGCCGCGAGCGACACGTCGCGCGGCGGCTCGGCCGCGGCCTTCCGTCTCGTCGGCGCCGGCGCGGCGGGCGCCGCTCGCTTCGCGGCCGCGACGGCGGGCGGCGGGCTCGACGTCGTTGCGGGTGGGCCGCCGCTCGTCGCCGCGAGGGCCAGCGCCGCGCTCAGGAGCTCCGCGGCGGCGGCGTGGCTCGCCGGCATCGGCGATGCGCTCTGCGGCGGCGCCGCCGCCTGGCGCACCGTGCCGAGGCTCCAGAACGCGTTCGTCGCCCAGACGCCGACGATGACGCCGACGACGTGGCACAGCGCGACGAGCCGCCACGACGGGGGCTGCATGGTCGCGTGCGCTGCTGTCTCTCACGGTTGATCGGCCATCGATTCAGAGGCCGCCTTGACGGGGAAAGTTGACCTCAACGAGGTGTGCAAGCTAGTTCAGCACGGACGATGGGACCATGCGTGCGCGCTAGTTCGCGCGCCGTCAACGCGCTGTGTAAGTAGCTCCGCTGTGTAGGTAACGAGGGCGACCTTAGAAGCTAGCGCCGCCCGCCGCGGTGCTGCTGCTGCGGCTGGTAGGAGTGCGGCAGCCGCGCCTGCGGGTCGGACTGCGCGCGGCGGCCCCGCCGGTCGTCCTCGGGCGTCGTCGACAGCGGCGGCTGCTGGTTCCAGGATCTGCGGTGGCCGTGGTGGTGCGGCGCGTTGGCGAAGGCGTGCTGCGGCGCGTAGGCGTACTGCGTCTGGCGGAAGCGCCCCGCGTAGCCCGACGGGAAGGGCCCCGGCGCGCCGGCGCCGCCCGGCGCGCTGTTGCCGCCGCCGTAGCCCGGCGCGGAGCCGTAGTACTCGCCGGGCGGTTGGCCGTCGTCGGACGCGGGGCTCCGGGGCGCCCGCGGGTGGAACGACGGGCCCGCCGTCGGCCGCTGGAGCGCGAAACTGAAGTCCGTCTCGCCGAAGGCGCCCGCGGACCGCGCGACGCCCGCGCCCGGGTAGCCCGCGGTGTAGGAGAAGGCGCCCTGGGCGCCGTAGGACGACGCGCCGGCCTGCCGCGCGGCGGCGTCGCGCCACTGGGCCTCGGTCATCGTGTTGTTGCGCCGGAGCGGCGCGAAGGCCGCGTCGGGCGAGTACTGCGGCGGCGGGTAGTAGTACGCGCCCGGCTGGTGGTAGTAGGCCGGCGGGAAGGGCGGCGCCAACGGCGTCGGCGCCGCGTTGCCCGCGTCGAACTCGGGCGGGTGCGCCGCCAGGGACATGCCGATGCCCGACACCTTGGACTCGCCGCGCCGCGGCGGCGCGCGCGGCGCCGCGTCGACGGCGCGCCGGTACGAGCCGTCGTCGCTGACCGCGCGGCGGTCGCGGATCTCGGGCGTCGGCGCGCCGTCGTCGGGCAGCCAGGCCGGCGCCGACGCGCCCAAAGTCTCGCGCCGCCGGCCGCCGGGCCGCCGGCCCCGGCCGAGGCGCGCGAAGTGGCGCCGCTCGTCGAAGCGCGGGTCCCGCGGCGCCTGCCAGTTGCCCAGCGCCGCGCCCGCCAGGAACGGGTGCGCCGCGGCCATGCGCGGCGTCCAGCGCTCGTCCGGCGCGTGGCGGAGCATGCCCCGCACGAAGTGGGCGAAGACCTTGCGCTTGTCGCGCTCCGCGTCGACGTCCGACGCCGACAGGCCCGCGCGGATCGGGTAGTGGTTGACGATCTCGTCGAGGCGCTTGTACTGGAAGTACTTCTTCGTGCGCGGCACGGAAGACCCCGTATCTCGAGCATACGCTTCCGGCGTCTTGAGCTCGTAGGACGACGCGGGCCCGTCGTCGTCGTCGGAGAACTTGGCGTCGGCGCCGTCGTCGTCGAACGCGTCGTCGGGCACGGCCGCCGGCGGCGGCTGCGGCGGCGCGGCCGGCGGCGGCGCGTCGGGCTTGCGGAAGAAGTACTTGGCCGCGTCGTCGCCGCGCTCGAGGAGCGCGTCGGGGAACGTGCCGAGCATCTCGACGATGCGCGTGATCTGGTTGTGCGCCGACACGCCCGGAAACACGGGCAGGCCGAGCATGAGCTCCGCGACGACGCAGGCCGCGGACCAGACGTCGATGGCGCCGTCGTAGGGCGCGCCGACGAGCACCTCCGGCGCCCGGTAGAAGCGGGACTGGACGTAGGTCTGCGTGGACCGGCCCTCGACGCACGCGGACCCGAAGTCGATGAGTTTCACGACGGACGCGCCGTCGTCGCCCGGCCGCGGCGACAGGAGGATGTTCTCCGGCTTGACGTCGCAGTGGACGATTTTGGCGTCGTCGAGACACACGAGGGCGCTCAGGATCTGCGCCGAGAAGAGGCGCACGGACTCCAAGGGCAATCCGCGGAATTGGTTCTGCTTCAGCAGCTCGTACAAATTCATCGACAGCAGCTCGAAGACCAAACACACGTGGCCGCCGTGGCTAAAGTCGCCGAACAGGTGGACGACGTGCGGGTGCGCGCCCCGCGAGTTGAGCATGCGCGCGATCTGCGATTCGACGAGCGCCTGCGTCGCGTAGGACGCGCAGTTCTTGACGACCTTGATGGCCACCAATCGCCCCGTCTTCGCGGACCGGCAGCGGAAGACCTGGCCGAAGGAGCCCTTGCCGAGCTTGTCGATGATCTCGAAGGACGGGCCGTCGCCGCCGGGGCCCAGCACGTCGCCCGCGTAGCAGATGAGCTCCGCCTCGGCCTATAAAAACGACGGTCCGGACGTTTTTTTACATAAGAAAGGGACGCCGAGGGTCCGCACGTTGTCGCGGCCCTCGTTGCCGCCGCCGACGTTCGGCGCCGTCAGCGACCGCCGGGGCACGACGGACGGCCGGCCCGGCGCGCGCGGCGTCGTCGACAGCCGGATCCACTCGGCGAAGCGCGCCGGGTCCGCGCCCCCGGCGCCCCCGGCCCCGGCGGGCCGGCCGGCGCCGACGCGCGTGTAGGTGTCGAGCACGTCGAGGGTCAGGCGCCGCAGCCGCGACGGCGCCGTCGTCGCCATGGCCGCGTCGGGCCGCGGCGCGTAGGGCTCCATCGGGCCCCGGCGCGCGCCGAGAAGCTCGGCGCCGCCGGGGCGGTGCGCGGTTCTTCCGCGGGGCGGCGCGAAGCGCGCGCGCGCGCCGAGGCGGTCGGGGCCGCCGCGAGGGCCGCGGTCTCTCGGGCAGTGCCGAGAGACGCGGACGGCCTCGAGCTCTCCGGTCTCACGACGTCGAGGTAAAACACCGGCCTGACCTTCAGGTGCCTCAAACACGGCCCGACTTGCGGGGTAAAATCAGCGCTCTCAGAGGCGTCTGGGACCCGTCACCCATCTTGGTTGTTGTTCGCCGCGGGACACGCTTTACACGTGTCGTGCCATTTCTCTGTCAACAATAGGCCTCTGGGGCGCTCCATTTGTCCCCCCAGGCGAGGGCTCCTTCACCGAGTTCATGTTGAAATGACAATGTTGGCGCGGGAAAAGCAATCACCATCGACGCTGTCGACGCAACAAGCATACGAGCGCCAGTCCTATAAAGCAGGCCCGACCCGCTGGCCGGCCCCTGCGTGACGCGCCGCCCGCGCGGGTCGCTTCGGAGCGGCCCACGACAGCGCCCTCGGCTCGGCGCGCGCGCAGCCGCTCGGAGAGCGCGCGCACGCCACTCTTCTTTCGGAGAGCGGTTTCGACGCGCGAGGCTGGCCGGGCGCGCCGCGTTCCGGTGACTTTTCCACGTCTATGGCCACGACGCTCGTCATGGAGAGCCGCACGACCCTGGCGCCCTTCCAGGACAGCGACCGGCGCGGCGCCCGCGCCCCGCGTATCCGCGCGCGCGTTTCTTTCGAATTCGGGGCCGCGAGCGGCGACCTTCCACCCTAGGTGCTTCTCGGCGCCGCCGCCCCTGAACGAGTCGCCGGAGATCGGCCAGCTCCAGCGGAAGCAGATCGAGGATCTGCTGCGGGACAGCGCGGGTTTGAACGCGGAGCCGTTCGGCGACGAGCGGCGCCGGCCCGGTTCGTCCGTGTCCTGGGCGTCGGCGAAGCGCGCGGGCGCGGACATCTCGCGGCCCCACACGTCCATGGACTACGGCGCCCAGCGGCGCCTCGGGTCCGAGGGCGACGAGCGCGAGGCGCGCGAGGAGGCGCGCATCGCGTCGGTCCGGGGCACGCTCGAGAACTTGAGCGCGTCCATCGCGGCGCTGTCCCTGCCGGAGGGGAGCTCGCCGGAGCCCTTCGGCCGCGAGCCGGGCCTGAGCCGGTCCGCGACGCCGAGCGAGCCGCCGCCGCCCGAGAAGGCCGCGGGCGGCGTCGCGCGCCAATTGCGCGAGGGCGGCAGCAGCCACCACGCCGCGGGCATGCACCAGGCGCCGCCGCCCCGGGGCCCGCCCGCGTCCCCCCACGGCATGGCGCCCCAGGGCTACGCGGGCTACGGCTACGCGCCGCCGGACGCGTACGGCCGACCCGCGGCGATGGTGCCCGTCGTCGGCGACGACGGCCGCGTCTACTACCAGCCCGTCGCCGCGCCGCCGCCGGACTACGGCCACTACGGCTACTCGCCGGGGGGCCACCCCTACGCGCGGCCGCCCTACGCGCCCTACGCGCCCTACCCGGGCGACCCCTACGGCGGCAGCCCGCCGGCGCACTACGGGAGCCCGCCGCCGTACCTCGTGTCGCACAGCCCGCCGGGCCGCCCGGCCTACGGCCAGGTCGCGCCGGGCTACTACCACGGCGGGTTGCACTACGGGTCGCCGCCCCACGGCTACGGCGCGCCGCCGCCGCGCGGCGGCCGGAGCCGCCGCGGCGGCCAGCGGCAGCGCGCGCGCGACGCGCGCTGCGACACGCTGAGCGGCTCCGACGACCCGAGCCCGCCGACGGCGGGCCTGTCGCCGGGCGGCGGGCCCCTGCCCATCTTCTCCGCGACGGATCTGAAGGGCCGCGTCGCCGTGCTCTGCCGCGACCAGCACGGGTCGCGGTTCCTCCAGGCCCACCTCGAGGACACGCGCGCGCCGTCGGCCGAGCGCGACCTCATCTTCTCCGAGGTGCTGCCCAAGTCCCGCGAGCTCGCGACGGACGTCTTCGGCAACTACGTCGTGCAGAAGGTGCTCACGTGCGGCGACGCGGACACGAAGTCCAAGGTCTACGAGGCTTTGAAGGGCCACTGCGTCGCGTTGAGCTTGCACGTCTACGGCTGCCGCGTCGTCCAGAAGGCGCTCGACGCGCTGCCGCCGCGGGAAGCGTTGGCGGTCATCGACGAGTTCCGCGAGTCCGTGTTGCTCTGCGTCCACGACCAGAACGGCAACCACGTCATCCAGAAGTGCGTCGAGGCCACGTCCAAGGCGACGAAGCTCGTCAAAAACGGCGCGCTGCGCGACGGCGACGACGCGGCGCTCGAGCGCGACTACGCCGCGTTCGGCGAATCCGTCGACTTCGTGCTCGCGGCGTTCCGGGGCAACGCGCGGTCGCTGGCGACGCACTCCTACGGCTGCCGCGTGCTCCAGCGCGTGCTCGAGCACTGCGGGCCCGAGCACACGGGGCCGCTGCTGGACGAGCTCCAGCTCGCGGACCTGCCGCCGCTCATCGAGGACCAGTACGCGAACTACGTCATGCAGCACGCGATCCAGTACGGCCGCCACAGCGACAAGGCGAAGCTGCTCGCCGCGGTCAAGGCCAATCTGCTAGACTTTAGCCGCCACAAGTTCGCGTCGAACGTCGTCGAGAAGTGCCTCGACTTCGGGTCCGAGGAGACGCGGTCCGAGATCGTCGACGCCGTCGTCGACGACGTCGGCGCGGACCACTCGCCCACGTCGGCCCTGAAGCTCCTCATCGTCGACCCCTTCGCGAACTACGTCGTCCAGAAGGTCGTGGACCTCGCGGACGACGCGCAGGTGCGGAAGATCGTCGACGGCCTCCGGCCGCACGTCGCGCAGATCAAGCACACGCCGGGCAAGCACATCCTCGCGCGCCTCGAGAAGAAGGTCCCGGGCCTCAAGTTCTAGGCGCCCATGCACATACACAAGAAGAATCAGACCCACGTCCGACGCACGCGACGCACGCCGCCGGCACGACGCGCCCCGGGCCGCCCCCCGAAAACCCGCCCCCCGGCCCGGCGGTGCACCCCATGTACTGTAGATAGCCTCAACTCCGGATTTCGGGGGTTTCGGCGCGCGCCGAGCAGTGCGCGAGGCACGCCGAGCAGTGCGCGAGGCGCGCCGAGCAGTGCGCGAGGCACGCCGTCGCTCTACGCGGTCGCGCGCGCACGCGCTGCCAGTCGACGAGGCGCCGACGCCGGAGCCGACGCCGGAGCCGGTCGAGGTCGTCGACGCCGCGCCGACGCCGGAGCCGACGCAGATGCTCGACGTGGCGCCGTCGCAGGAGCCGACGGAGACCGTCGACGCGGCCTGCGGCGACTCGACGAGCTGGCGCCTCCTCGGCGTCGTTGTTTTCGCATGCCTTTCGCTGACGTAGCGGCTCAAAGGTACGCGAAGAAGCGGTCGCGCGACTGTGCCTGGGTGGCGAAGAAGTCGGCGAAGCGGTGCAAGAAGAAGGACGCCGGCAAAATCACCGGCTTCGACGCCTGCGAAGCGTCCTGCTGCTCCTGCGAAGAAGACGACGCCGACTGGTACTTCCGCAAGGCGAATCGGGACTGCACTTGGGTCGCCAAGAAATCCAAGCGCTGCGAGAAGGTCGGGAAAGACAAGGTCAAAGCGAAGGACGCCTGCAAGGCGTCGTGCTGCGGCGTGTAAAGTGTGATGTTGTTGTGGACCTGGGTCTAGTCACCAGTGGTGTCAAAATCGCCCCCAGATCCCCGGCGACGCTATCTTAGTGTGGTGTTATTGTTCCTGGCCCGAGGGCCTCTGGCGAGGGCCTGGAGTGCTCCCTCCGGCGCGATCGTCCCAAACCCCCGCCCGCTCCAAGAACCTAGGGTTAGGATTGGGCCCCCGGGAACCGAGGCGTGAACGATCGGCGCGGCTGGAGCGAAACTGTGCAGCGCGAGGTGCTCGCGCTCGACCCGATCAACCCTCCAAACTTCCCGTACACTCACATCATGGCCTCCTGTGGTCCTCTCGACGTCCTGGCCCGCGCGACTCTCGATTCCGGCGACGCGCGGGAAGCCGCGGGCGGTTTGACGCGCACCTCGAGTCAGCGGTCGTCCTCCGGTATGATGTGCGCCAACACGCTGAACCGTTCCTCGACGATGACGTCGCAGTCCACGCGGTCGCCGAGCGCCTGCGAGTGCGCGCGCCGTGTCCGATAATAACCGACGCGCACGACGCGGACGACGAGAGACGGGCCCGAAACCCACGCCCGCGTTCGCCGAGCGCGCGCCTCCCCCCCGACGCAGGTGGCGCAAGTTCCTCACGCTCGAGGAGCGCACGAGCATCCGGGAGAAGATCGCCGCGGCCTACAAGCAGTGCGAGTCCTTCGACGACCTCCTCGAGACCGTCGCCGCGATGCAGGAGGAGCTCGTCCACATCTCGGCGCCGTCGCGCCTGGACTACTTCAAGACCGGGTGCCAGTTCGACCGGCTCGTGCAGAACAAGCGAGAGCTCATGGGCAAGGTCGAGGGCGGCGACCAGAAACGGACGAAGTACGACGACGACCGCCAGAGCAGCGGCGGCGTCACCGTCTCCCAGGACTGCGACTCGCAGGAGTGCGAGCTGACCCAGGAGGCGTGATCCTCGTCGGGCCCGTCCCCAAGCTGCGGGCCGCCCCCTCCCCCACCGCTCGATTCCCCCCGCCGCGCGTCCCCGGCGAGCACCTCGTCCCGGAGCCCGGTCTCTCAGCATAAGAGCTTCTTCGCATCTCGGCGCGTCGACGCCCCTCTGGAGCAGCGCAGACGCAGCTCTCGAGAGCGGCGCGTCGCACTCCTCCCCGGGGCGCACTGCACGAGCTAAAGGCCGCCGCCGCGCGTTACGTCAGAGCGTCGCCGCGGAGTACAGCGCCAGGGCCACGGAGCCCGCGGCGACGGTCATGAGGACGTACGCGGCCGAGATCGCGTCGTTTCCGAGGACGCGGCGGCCGCCGAACCTCCGCAGCTGGTCCTCGTCCGCGTCGTCCACGAGGCCGTCGGCGATTTCCGGCGCGATGACGATGGAGTCCTTGCCCGTGCCGAAGCTCGCGCCGACGGCGATGCGCCGCCAGAACTCCCAGGCCGCCCAGAGGAAGGGCACCGTGCCGATGAGGAAGACCACGGTGTCCTGCGGCGTCACGCCGCGCGGCTCGTAGACGCCCGGCGCCGCGCTCGGCAGCGGCGGGCCGTCGAGCGCCAGCGCCGATTCGGCCGCCGCCAGGAGCGCGACGGCCGCGACCGCGAGCGCCGCGCGCGCGCGCGGGTGCGCGTCGGCGCACAGCACCGGCGCCGGCGCCTCGTCGAGGAGGAGCCGGTCGTCGCTGGCCCAGCGCCGCGTCGGCCGCAGCGATGGACCGCGGCGCGCAGCGGTGGCGATGCTCGAGCTTACGGAGGCGCTGCGGAGCGCAGAGGTCGTGGCGATGCATGCGAAGAGAGCATGGACGCGGCACCCCATGCTGAGTTGGCACTGAGAGCGGTTTGTGCGGGCGCCGGCCGAGCCCTCATGGAGCTGTCGGCGGTGCGCGCATCTAGTGCGCGCATGGAGCCACGCGCCTTCGCACGCCGACGCTTCTGGTCTCGTAGTTAGTGCGACGAGCGCCGGGGTGTCGGTGTGGCGCGCGCCGCGCGAGAGGCCCCGCCGCCCGCGGGCCCGAGCCGCAGCGTCCGTTGCCTCAGGCGAGGTAGCGGTAGCTGTTGGCGACGTCCGGGTCGCGCTCGAGGTACTCGCGGTCGATGAGGGCCTCGATGCGGCGCTTGATGACCTTGGGGTTCGGGCGGAAGAAGGCGAGCTGGCTGAGGACCTCCGCGAGGAGCTGCTGGTGGCTGAGGGTCTTGCGCGCCTTCATGATGCGGACGATGGCGGCCTCGATGGCGACGGTGCGGTCCTCCTCGACGCGCTTCGGGTTGTGGCTCTCGTCGAGGTTGGCCATGGGCACGCGGATCTTGCGCATCTGGCACTTGAAGTCCGCGTTGACCTTGAACGCGTCCGTGTTCTTGATCGTGTTGCCCGCGGGCGTCTTCGTGATGACCTTGTACTTGCCGCAGGCGAGGGAGTGGAGCACGCGCTTGAGGTGCTCGTCGGGCAGGTTGATGCGCTCGCGGACCGCGTCGTACGCGAGCGACGGCGCGGCGCCGTCGCCGTCGGCGTTGAACGCGAGGAGCGCGATGGCCTGGAGCGTCGACACCTGGAAGTCGTAGGACTTCTTGCCGAAGGCGCCCTTGACGGAGGCGTTGCCCAGGGAGAACATCCACGTGAGGCGCCGCTTCGAGTTCTTCGTGTCGTAGTAGTCCTTGAAGACGCGCGTGCACTGGACGATCTCCGGCGGGAGGTGGGCGTCGATGGCGGCAAAGGACGGCCAGTAGCCCGTCGTCAGCACCTGGACGGCGAAGTCGAGCTTGCCCAGGCTCTTGGACTTGTCCTCCTTGACCGTCTGGTCGAAGTCGGACTGGTGGTCGACGCCGATGGCCAGATCGTTGAGCATGCCCTCCATCTTGCCCGTGAACTGGGAGCCGCAGCGGAGCTTGAGCTTGCCGATCATGAGGCGCTCCGCGTCGTCGGACGCGGACCGCTGGTTCAACAGGCGCTTCGCGAGCTGGTTCCGGTAGATCTCCGCGAACAAGTCCTTGTCCGTGAGGTAGGAGAAGAGCTGCACCGTCTTCTCGAGGTAGGACTCGACGTCCTCGTCGCTGAGCTTCTCGCCGCCGCTCTTGAGGATGCGGTCGCAGAACGACGACATGAGCTCCGCGTTCGTGAACTTGCCGACGTCGCGGTTCGTGAACTCGACGAACGCCTCCTTGAGCGCCTTCTGGAAGAGGGCGTTGCCCGCGAACTGGGCGGAAACGACGGCCATGTACTTGTCGTGGAGCGCTAAAAGCTCCTTGACGAAGGCCGGGTCCTGGTTCGAGTCCTTCTCGCCGGCCTCGAGCCGCGCCTCGCGCCGGTTGATGACCTCGTTGCCCATGGCCTCGATGTGGGCCCGTACCAGGGCCGCCATGGGCGGCAGCCCGTTGGGCACGCGGCTGAAGAGGCGGTACATGCGGCTCAGGTCCGCGGCCTTGTCGTTGGCCAGGAGCGCGCGGCAGCCGCTGCCCTCCTTCTCGAGGAGCACGGTCTCGCGGAGCTCGAGGATCTCGTGCTCGCAGACGCGCAGCAGCTTGGGCTCGGACGCGCTGTTGAGGTAGTGGGCCACGCGCGCCTTCTCCGCGTCGAGCGCGACCTCGGCCTTGGCGAGGTACGTCGGCGTGTCGTCCGTCTCGACCCACTCCTGGCTCTTGCGCGCGTAGTACTCCTTCGTCGACCCGAGGAGCTGGTCCTCGAAGTCCGTCACGTAGGCGTCGAGACTGCCCATGCCCATGGCCTCGAGGAGCTCGACGCAGTTCTTGACGAGGCCCCGGTCGATGAGCTTCTCGTCGCGCTCCGCGTCGATGAGGCCGATCATGGCGTTGACGACGTCCTTCTTCACCTCGTTGTAGACGAGCGTCTTGAAGTGCTTGAGCCCCGCGACGTCGAGCCTACGATGGGTCGCGCGCGGCTCCGCGGCGGAAGCGCCCGAAGAAAGGGACGCGGCGCGGCGGACGTCGGCAGGCTGTGGTGCTTGACGTAGTAGCGGTCGAGGTACATGAAGAAGAGGCGCATCCACTTGTTCATGATCTTGTGGTTCGCCCACCGCTTCGTCAGCTCCGTGAGCAGGAAGTCGTTGTGCTGGTGCCGCAGCGCGGGGAGCACCTGCGCGCGCGGCGCGCGTCGAGCGCGGCGCGGGGCGCGCGGCGAGCGGGCGCGGGTCGCGGACCGTCTTCGTCAGGTAGTCGCAGATGGTCTCGCCGTGGCGCTGGTAGAGCTGCTCGGACCAGTTGTAGGGGCTCCGCTGCGTGCACATGTTGTAGCACGTCGTGTACCTGGCGAGGGGCGGCCCGGTCGCGCCCCGCCCGGCCCGGGGGTCGCCCGCGGTGGCGCCGGCGGCGCCCGCGCGGCGCGCGCGGGCCCGCCGGGCCGCCGGCCGCCGCGCGCGGAACGAGCCCTTTCGAACCGAAGGCGCGACCCGCCCGAGCGCCGGACGCGGGGCGACGCACGTCTGCACGTACTCCTTGGGGGCGAAGAGCCGCTGGCTCTTCTGGTCGAAGCCGTTGTTCAGCATCTCCTCCAGGACGTCGATGGCCTTCGCCTTGATTTCATTATTCCACCCCTCTTCGAGCGCGATGATCTTCGGCGACAGCATCGTCGCAGGGCGGCCGTCCGCAGCTCAGGGAGCTCGAGGAGGACCACGGGGACACGCGCGGGCTTCTCCCGCGTCGCCAACACCCCTCGTCGCCGTCGCGAGCGCAGGGGTCAGCCTCTTCGTCTGCCAGCGGCGCCGCGAGGCTCGATGGTCTCGGGACTCGGTCGACCTTTCTCGGACGGCGAGTGCGGTCGCCACGGCGCTTGTCGCACCGCGCGCGCCGCCGCCGCGCGCCGCCGCCAAGCCTCGCCTCCCGACGTGCCCGCGCGCCACCCTCCGCACCACCTTGCAAAAACCGACCAGCCCGAGCACACGCCGTCGGCGCCGCGGCCGGTGCGCCGCGCGCCGGCCGCGGACCGGTAGCTCCGCGGCGGCTTTCAAGTTTCGAAAATGGGCTTACGAGGTCTACCGCCGGCGGTCGTTGAAGTGGCCGCCGGCGAAGGCGTGGCGGCGGGGCTCGTTCTGGTACCAGTCGATGAACTTGGCCATGCCGTCCTCGATGGACGTCTTCGGCGCGTAGCCGAGGAGCGCCTGGGCCTTGGTGATGTCGGCGTACGTCTCCTTGATCTCGGCCGTGGACGTCTTGTGCTTCATGGTCGCCTTGGTGCCCAGGCTCTTCTCGATGGTCTGGATGAAGTGCATGAGCTCCACGGGCTGGTTGTTGCCGAGGTTGAAGACGGCCGCGGCGTCCGCGCAGTACTGCATCGACCCGATGATGCCGCTGACGATGTCGTCGACGTACGTGAAGTCGCGGCGCATCTCGCCCTTGTTGTAGAGGGTCAGGGGCTTGCCGAGCTCGATGGCCCGCGTGAAGAGGAAGGCCGCCATGTCCGGCCGGCCCCAGGGGCCGTAGACCGTGAAGAAGCGGAGGCCGACGGAGTGGAGGCCGTAGATGTGGTGGAACGCGGCGGCGATCTGCTCGTTCATGAACTTGGACGCGCCGTACAAGTTCGCCGGGTTCGTCACGGCGTCGGCCTCGCTGAAGGGGATCTTCTTGTTGCGCCCGTAGACGGAGCTCGACGACGCGTACGACAGCGACGGCCGCGATTCCGGGTCGATCTTCCGCACGACCTCCAGGAGCGTCACGTAGCACTCCAGATTGTTCTTCACGTAGCTCAGGGGGTGGTTCAGCGAGTAGCGCACGCCCGCCTGGGCCGCGAGGTGGACGACGTGCGTGAACCGGTGCTCCTTGAAGAGGTCCTCGAGCAGGCTGCCGTTGCAGACGTCGCCCGCGACGACGTCGCGCCCGAAGTCCTTCTTGAGCCGGTGCGCGCGCGCCTTCTTGAAGGCCGGGCTGTAGTAGTCGTTGAAGTTGTCGAGGCCGACGACGACCTCGGGGGCGAACTGCTCGTGGAGCGCGCCCATCAGGCTCGACCCGATGAAGCCCGCGCCGCCGGTGACGAGCACGCGCGACGCCGCCGAGAGCGCGTGGCGGTCCGCGCGCGTCGTGCAGGCCTCGTTGATCCAGTAGGGCTCCTCCTTGCCGAAGGACGTCCGCGTCGACACGAAGTTCGACTGGATCTCCAGCCCGACGAGCCCGCAGATGATCAGCGTGATCGCGGCGACCTTCTGCTTGAGCTCGACCATCGTTTTTTCGGTGCGCGCGTTGCGGGCGGTGTTCGGCTACTCTATGGCGCAGCTTACCGACGATTATGAGCGTCGGAGCGTGTTTTATCGGTGTGGAATGCCGAGCTTAGGTCAGCAGCGCATCGCTCGATTGAGATTTTTGACGCGGTCGCGATCGCGCGAGCCGGCGTTTGCCTCGCGTGCACCACCCACCGCGTCGACGGCAGGCTGCGCGCGCCGCTCGACACGATCGCACAAGACCGCCGCACGCTACACGAACACCCCAAAAGCGCACACGCACTCGCGCGCGAAAAAAAGGAACGATGAGCGCCGCGCCGCCGCCGAATCCCGCGAACCAGATGCCGGAGCCGCCGCGGCAGAAGCGCGCGTACACGAAGCGCGGCACGGGCGCGACGGCGATGAAGAAGCAGAAGCCGTTGAAGGGCGGCCTGAGCAAGATGTACCAGGGCCGCGCGGGCGCGCCCGCGCGACTCCAGGAGCAGGACCGCGAGTCCGCGCTCGCGACGGCGCTCCGCTGCGGCCGCCAGCTCTGCGGCTGCAGCGACGAGCGGGTCGCGCTCAAGTGCGTGAACCTGCTCCTGGTGATCACGCGCGAGCTCGAGGTGCCGTGCCTCGAGGCCGGCGACTTCTACGACGACGAGTCGCCGCTGCTGAACGGTCTCGCGACGATGCTCGACCGGTGCCTGCCCCCGGGCCCGCTGGCCTCGTCGCTCTTCGGCGACCCGGGCGCGCCGCCCCTCGAGGACGATGTGGACCCCTGGGCCTGGCGCGTCGGCGGCGACCGCGAGCCCGCGCCGGAGTACGTGGACGACGTCGCGGCGCGCGCGTCGTCGCCGCTCTGTCTGGCCGTGCTGACGGTGCTGCGCAACGTCGCGCAGACGGCGAGCAACCGGAGCGCCATCGCGCACCACGACCGCTGCCTGCGCCACGTCCTCGTCCTCCTGGAGCCGCCGCTGCTGGGCCTCGAGTCGGCGACGCTCTGCGTCGACGTGCTCGCGTCCGTGGGCCGCCACGTGGAGCTCGGCGGCGCGTTCCTCGAGTCGCGGCCCCTGCGCCACTACCTGGCGCGCGGCGGCGGCGGCGCCAAGGACGACGCGCTGAAGAACGGCTGCGCGCTCGCGGGCATCGCGCCGCCGGGCGCGCGCGCGGCGCGCGCGCTCGACGGCGGCGCGGGCGACGTCGTGCGGCGGCGCGCGACGCTCGCGCGGCGCTGCTTCCGGGCCGTGCGCCTGTGCCTGCACTACGGCGCGGCGCCCGGACCGCTGGCCTTCCTGAGCCCCGTCGACGAGGACGACGCGGGCGACTTCGCCGGGTTCGGCGCGTCCGCGCCGATGGAGCGCTACGCCGTGCGGCCCGGCGCGACGCTGCGCGAGGGCGGCCGCGACGCGGCGCGGGCGCACCAGCGGCACGTCGCGCTGCGGGCGCTGGAGACGCTCGCGTCGTTCCGGAATTCGGAGTGGAACGCGCCGGCGCTCGACGAGACGCCGGCGGACGTCGTCCGCCTGTCGGCGGAGCGCCTCGCGCGCGCGTACCCCGACGAGGCCGTGGACTCCGAGGCGCGCCTCGCGGGGCTCGAGGCGCTGACGCTGCTCGCGGACCGCGACGCGGCCGCGCCGGTCGTCGCGCGGTTGGCCGCGTTCGCGCCCGCGGCGGACCTCGCGCTCGCGGCCATCGTCGCGACGCACGTCAAGTACCTCGACGCGCCGACGGCGGCGGCGGCGGCGGCGGCGAAGCCCGCGCCCGCGCCCGCGCCCGCCGCGGGCGCGCCCGCGCCCGCGCCCGCCGCGCCCGCGCCGCCGCCGCCGGTGGTGCTCCAGCGCTCCGAGGACCCCGTCGCGGGCGTCGTGACGCTCGGCCCGCGCCTCGAGCTCCCGCCGCCGCCGCCGCCGACGGCCGACGAGGACGGCTCCCGCCTCGCGCCGCCGCGGTCGCTCCGCGCGGAGACGGTCCGCTCCGCGTGCCAGTTCCTCGCGACGCTCGCGAGCCACGACGCCGCGCGCGCGGCCATCGCCGACCGCGCCTGCCTGCTCCTCCCGGCGGCCGCGAACAACGACGACGTCGCGGACCTCGTCTTCAACAAGCTCATGTAGTAGTAAGGCGACATCGTCCACGTCTTCAACAAGACTGCACTATGATGTCATTGACGAAGGGCGATTTCGTCTTGTTTTTCGAGCAAGCCGAGCTCATTCCCAGCGGGCGACGTGGGATTCGGCGCGGCCGCATTAAGCCGCACGTCCGCAATTATCGCGTGGTCGCGCCGCAGCACCGACACACACGCGCATTTCGTCGCCGCATCTCGAAAACCGAAACAAACGGATGGAGGCCAAGGAGGACGCCGACGAGGAGGAGGCGGCCGCCGCCGAGGGCTTCGAGGACGAGGTGGAGATGGAGGTGTCGCTGCCCGGCCACGTGAACCGCAACGTGTCCAAGCACCTCGGCGCGGGCCTCGCGACGGGCTTCAAGTCCATGGTCGGCGGCGTCGCCGCGGGCGCGGCGGCGCTCGTCGCCGCGCCCGCAATCGGCGCCAAGGAGAACGGCGCGACGGGCTTCGCCGCGGGCCTGGGCATGGGCGTCTTCGGCGCCATCGCGCTGCCCGTCATGGGCGTCGCGTCCGCCGTCGGGTCCATCGGCGGCGGGCTCCTGAACACGCCCGAGGCGATGGTCGCGGCGAGCCAGGGCAAGGAGTGGGACCCGACGACGAGCACGTGGATCTTGTACGACCTGAGCGTCGACGAGACGAAGTACCTGTCGCCGGACGCGGACGCCGCCCTGCGGGACCACGTGGAGCGGCGCCGCGCGCTGCGGGCGAAGCGCCGCGGCGGCGACGAGCAGGAGGAGAAGAAGGCCGAGGTCAAGGACACGACATTGTACGAGGCGCTCGGCGTGGACCCCGGCGCGTCCGACGCGCAGATCAAGAAGGCCTACTACAAGAAGGCGCTCAAGTGCCACCCGGACAAGCACCCGGGCGACGCCCAGAAACAAAAAGAATTCCAGGCGGTGTCGTCCGCGTACCAGGTGCTGAGCGAGCCGGAGGCGCGGCGGCGCTACGACTCGACGGGCGAGTCCGGCGACGACAAGGCCGGGGCCATGGACCCGTCGGTCTTCTTCGCGATGATCTTCGGGAGCGAGGGCTTCGAGAAGTACGTCGGCGAGCTGCGCATGGCCGCGCTGGTCAAGGGCGCCGACGACTCGCCGCCGGACTCGGCGGAGCTCGAGTTCACGCAGCGCCGGCGGTCCGTGAAGCTCGCCGTCGCGCTCCGCGACGAGCTCGCGCCCCTCGTCGACGGCGCCGAGGACGAGAAGGCCTTCAAGGCGCGGTGCTTCGCCGAGGCCGAGGGCCTGGCGAGCACGCCCTTCGGGGCGACTTTGACGCGCGTCATCGCGCGGTCCTACGTCGCGGCGGCGAACGCCTTCCTCGGGGGCGGCCTGGGGAGTTTGGTGCAGTCCGTCTTCGACGCGTCGCACTCCGCGGAGACGCACTTCCAGACCGCGCGCGAGTCCGGGAGCCTGCTGCTCAACGCGCACTCGGCGACGAAGGCCGCCAAGTACGCGGAGAAGGCCGAGGCGGAGACGACGACCGTCGACGGGAAGCCCGTCGAGGACGCGGTTTTTGTGACGATCTCCGACAACCACGGGTCGTGGGCTGCAGGGCAGGAAAAGAGAGCGAAATTCCCAACTTCAAAGGCTCCTATCTCAGCCGTTTTCCACTCGTTTCGGCTGATTTTTGGACGAGCGATCATCTCTCGGAGCGCTCTCGACGCGTGGATGCTTTTTCCGGAACGCGCGCGCGCGGAACACTCATGTTGAAGCGAACTTGAATCACCCTTTTTCTGCCCAGGTGGGCCGCGTACCACTTCGCGGACAAGGCCGCGGCCTTCGACCACTTCCGCCACCTGCCCTTCTCCTGCGCGTCCGTGCTCTTCGAGAAGCGCAGGGCCCGGGGGACCGCGGGCGGCGCGCTCGGCGCGGACGTGTCCGCCGACGACGACGCCGTCGAGTGGGCGCCCGTGCGCGTCTACGGCACGCCGAGCTCCTGCAACAAGATCAAGACGCACGTCAAGAGCAGCGGCGCGCGCGAGCTCCTCACGTCCAAGGCGCTCAACGACGCGTCCGCGAAGCGGAAGCAGGGCAGGATGGTCGGCTCGATGTTCGAGGCCGCGTGGCGCGTCTCCGTCCTCGACATGGAGTCGACGCTCCGCGACGCCACGGAGAAGCTCTTCAAGGACAACGGCGTGCCCAACGAGACCCGCACCAAGCGCGCCAAGGCGCTCAAGTGCCTCGCCAAGGCCTTCCTAGCGGCCGCGGACGCCGCGGGCCACAAGGAGACGTGGCAGGAGGCCCTCGCCACGCAGCTCGCCAACGGCGGGCCGGGCGCGCCGCCGCCGCCGCCGCCCGCCGACGAGAAGAGCTCCGACGTGTAACTTTGCTGTTGTTTTTGGGTCGCTTGGAAACATGATTAGGCCGGCGGTGCATTTGTCGACGACGTGGGCTTCTTGAGGTCAACGAGCCGTGGTGAATCGTGTCGAGGAAAGCATGGATTGCTGAGTTGGCACGCATTGCTAAGCCCGATATCGTTCACCCGCCTTGCAACGCAGCGTCTCGTAGCGCACCGAACGTCTCAACGCCTTGCACGCAACGCCTCGCAACCCACATGGCCGCCGCGCTGCACGCGCGACTCCTGAAAGTCCTCGTCGTCTCGTCGCTCGCGCAGGTGCGCGGCCTCGCGCTCGAGCGGCGGCTCGTGCGCGGCGTGCTGCAGGAGGCGCTCGAGGGCCAGCGCCGGAAGCGCGTCGCGCTCGAGGGCCAGCTCGCCAAGGCCGGCGCGGACGACAAGGCGCTGGCCGTCGTGCCGGCGCGCCTCGCGGACGTCGACGCGGCGGAGGCGAGGCTCGCGGCGCTGCTGGAGAACGTCGCGGACGTCGAAGCGCGAGACCTCGAGGCCGCGGGCCTCTCGGAGCGGCTCGAGACCTTCGACGTCGAGGCCATGGCGACGAACCAGTGGGGCCGGCCGAGCGGCTTCGACGGCCTCGTCGTCGAGGGCCCGCGGGGCGTGCCGTGCCTCGTGGGCCGCAAGTCGTTCTCCGACGAGACGCTGCGCAAGGTGAGCCGCGGCGCGGACCTCTGGTTCCAGGCCGTCGAGGGCCGCGGGTCGCGCGTGCTCCTGCGCGCGTCCATGGACCGCTCGCTCTCGAAGGCGCCGCGCGAGTGCGTCGAGTTCGCGGCGGACCTCGCGGCCTACTTCTCGCCGGACTACGTCCACTGGGCCGACGACGCCGTCGAGGTCATGTACACGGACAGCCGCCACGTCGCGAAGCGCGGCGGCCGCGTGGGCCAGATGAAGGCGAAGAAGCGCCTCGGGACGGTGTGGGCGCGGCCGGCGCGCGTCGCCGACGTCGCGCGGGACGCCCAGGAGCTCCAGGGCTGGCTCGGCTGATAAATTTAGATCTTCTAGGGCTGGAGGAGCGCGAGGCCGAGCTCCGCGGCCTGGGCCCGGGCGCGGTCGGGCACGTCGCCGTAGGCGTCCTCGCCGAGGAGGCGCCAGTTCGGGCTCTGCTCGGCCTTGAGCCACTTGAAGTCCTTGACGTTGCGCCAGGCCGCCGGGTCGACGGCGAACTCCGTCGGCGGCGCCGCGGCGTCGAAGGCGGGGCGCGACCCGTCCCACGTCGCCGCGTAGGGCGCGAACGCGAGGTCGCCGCAGTCCTCGACGATGGGCGGGCTCGCCGCGGCGACGTGGAAGGTCGTCGACCGCGTGTCGTGGATGCGGAACTGGCGCGCGGCGGCGCGGACGACGCAGCCCGACGCCTTGATGCAGTAGCAGGGCCCGCTCACGGCCTGCGCGAAGACGTGCGTGTCGCGCACGTTGAGTAGCCGGAGCGCGAGGAGCGGCTTCGCGCAGAACACGACGCAGCGCTCCAGGTCCTCGAGGTTCAGCTCGTCGGCGGCGTCCGCGAAGACCAAGACCTGATCCTTGAGGCCCGCGAAGCCCGGGCCCGCGGGCCGCGCCTTCGCGCCGCTGACCTCGCGCTCCGTCGTCCGCGCGGGCGCGGCCGCCGCCGCGGCCTCGACGGTCTTCACGGCGCCCTTGCGGAAGCCGAACTTCTTCCGCGGCGCGAGGCGCTGCTTCGCCGCGGCGATGGCGTCCGCGGCGTCCTTGATGTCCGCCGCGGACCGCTTCATGTCGTAGGGGCTCAGGTACGACGCCGCCGCCGCCGCGCGCTCGCGCAGGGCCGTCGCCAGGAGCTCGAGGGCCTTGACCTCGTCGACGCTCGTCGCGGCGACGGCGCGCGCCTTGGCGTCGGCGGCGTCGGGGCCGAAGCTCGCCCAGAAGTGGGACGACGTCTCCTCGACGGGGCCGGAGACCTCCGACTTGTGCGTCGCCCACTTGGCCTTCATCGCCTTGTGGCGCGCCGCCGACTTCTTGGCGAAGTCCGAACTCTCCTCGTTGACGTCCATATTCTCGAGGTCCGAGGAGAGTTGTTGCGACGCCATCTTCGTTGCGCGCGCCGCCGCTGCGCGGCGGAGGGGTTGGTAATGCCACAGCAACGTCCACAGCTCGCCAAACCTCAAGCCTTTTGATGGCTCCTGATCGCGTCTGGACGGTCTGGTGCATCGCGTCGTGCTTTTTGCAGACAGCCACCGTCGCCCGGGCCCGCCCCGAGGGGCCTCAAACGCTCGGCAAGCGCTCCGCCGCCCATGCTCCAGCAAACCCGGCCCCAGTTCGCGCCGCCGAACGCGGCGCCGATGACGCCCTTCGTGCAGATCGCGCCCCCGGAGAGCTGGACCGAGGAGGAGCAGAAGCGGCTCGAGGAGACCCTCGTCCAGTACCCGAGCTCGTCCTACTCCATCGTGTCGCAGTGCGCGAAGATCGCCGCGCGGCTGCCGAACAAGACGATCCGCGACGTCGGCGCGTCCGGCGGCGCCCGCGCTCCCGTCGGCCGCGGCGCCGCGCGACCCTCGGCCCCGCGCAGGTGCGCGCCTGCGCGCGCTGACGCTCGACCCGCAGAAGCGCGGCGCCGCCTTCGACGCGTCCTCGGGCAGCCCCGCGCGCGCCGGCGCCCGCCTCGCGCGAAACGCTTCCGGAACCGCGGAGCCCGAGCGACGTTTTCCTTAGGCCCTGGAGTCGGCGCGCCTCGGCAGCGAGCGACACGCGGAGCTCGACCGCCGCGCGTCGGCCATTTTGCAGGAGAACGTCGCGGTCATCTCCGACATGCGCGAGAACCTCCAGAAAATCAGCCTCGTCGACAACATCCCGCTCATGAAGAAGTTCAACGACAACGTCGCCGCGACCTTCGCGCTCCTCGAGCAGCTCGACGCCAAGACGCCGCCCTTCCCCGTCGAGGTCAACACCATGTTCCTCAACAACCCGATCGGCGACCTCAACGGCGCGCCCGCGGCGGACGGACCGCCGCCGCCGGCGTCGCCCCAGCGCTGAGGCGGGGCCGCGCCGGCTCCAGCGGCTCGCCCCCCCGTCCGGAGTGACGAAGTCGAGTAACCGCGCCCCAGCGACTGTGCAACATTCGCGTTCGGCATCGTAGCAACGGACAGTTAATGCAACGACGAATTCACCTCGGCCGGGTACTGCTCCTCGAACTGCTGGCGGCTCAAGCACATGGTAGGTCCCAAAGCCATTATCGTCGGGCGGTTCGAAGAAGAGGGCGATGCCGCCGCTCGTGTCCCCCCAGAACGAGTTGTTGGGCAGGACTTGCCAGGAGTACTCGCGCTCCTCCTTGACGTCTTTCTTGACTCCTTCTCGCACCACGCACGTATGGTTCTCGTCGCTCCGCATCTCGATGGTCTTCCATTCCGAATTGAGGAGTTTCTTCTTTCGCCACTCCCAAGTCTTGCCGACCTTGTCCGACCACAGGGGCAGGTTCGCTTGAAAATCGTTCTCCTCGTGTTCGTCCACCACCACCGCCTTCTTCTTTTTCTTCTTCCCTGCTTTCTGCATCATGCGACTGGGCGAGCTGCCGGATCGTCTCACAAAAGCTGGTCTGAATTGGCGGCACCGGCCTAGATCGTTCGATTGCTGCCCGCCATGCTCATTATGATCATTCGCGATCTTGAAGAGATGCTGAAGCCAAGAATCCGGGATTCCGGATCGTCGGATCGCGATGGGCAGCCGGATCGAGACCACGCATCGTGGGCGCGCATCGATAGGCGGCGAGAAGGCTGCCGGCGAGAAGGGCAGCCTGCCGGCGAGAAGGCTGCCCATGGCCATGCGCACCGTCATCACAGTGGCGTGCATGGTGCGCACCTCCGCGTCGCGGTCGCCGCCGGCGCGCGGCGCCGCCGCGACGAGACGGGCCTCGCCGAAGGTCCTCGGGGCGACGACGCGCGTCGACAACCTGCTCGGCATGAACGCCATCGGCAACAAGGGCAAGCTCTGGACGTCGCTCCGGCGCGCCTACGGCCGCGACCGGGCCGCCGAGCTCATGCCGCTGACGTACAACCTGACGGACCCGGCGGACGTCGCCCTGCTCAAGGCGGAGCACGCGCCGACGTCGCGCTACGTGTGCAAGAACGTGCTCAAGAGCCGGCGCGAGGGCATCCGCGTGACGGACAATCTGACGTTCGTGCTCAACGCGCGGAAGGAGGGCTACGGCATCGCCCAGGTCTACGCGCGCGACGTGCTCACCGTCGAGCGGCGCAAGGTGAACGTGCGGGCCTGGCTCGTCGTCGCCTGCGACGGCCGCCACCGGCCGACGGCCTACCTCTACAAGGACGCCAAGTGCCTCTACGCCACGGCGGACTACGACGAGGACGCCGACGACGACGCCGCGCGCGTCACGGCGACGATGCACGCGACGATGCACAACAGGCACAAATCGGCGAACTTGCCGCAGACCGTCGCGGAGCTGGGGCCCGCGGTCGCGGACCGGGGGGGCTCGCCGGAGACGCTCTTCGCGTCCATGCGGCGGGCGCTCGGCGACGTCTTCGGGGCCGCGCGGTCGAAGATCTGCCGGGCCGAGGCCGTCGGGAGCCAACAAGCTCGGACGATGATCTTCGGCGTGGATTTCTTGTTCACGGGCGCGCTCAAGCCGCTCGTCATCGAGGTCCAGGTCTTCCCCAATCTAAAAGCCGCCGACGCCGGCGACTTCGCGCTGAAGCAGCGGCTCATCGCCGACTTTAACGACCTCAGCGCGGAGCTCCACCGCGGCGCGGACGTCCGCGACGTGCCCGCGGGCTTCGTCGCCGTCGACGCGACGTCGTCGCCGCGGGCCGGCGCGTCGGTCGCGCCGCCGGGCACGCCCGCCCAGGTCGTCGCCCGGGCCGTGCCGGGCGCCCAGCTCTGGCGGTCCCTCGCGGGGAAGTACGGCCGCGCGGCCGCGGCGACGCTCACGCCCGCGACCTACGTGCTCACGGACCCCAAGGACGCCGCGCTGCTCGCGCGCGAGTTCCGCGCGGGCGACGCCTACGTGCTCCGCAACGGCCGCGGCAACCGCAAGGGCCTCAGGCGCGCGCGGGACCGCGACGCCGTCTTGGGCGCGCGCCGAGCCGGCTACGCGCTCGTCCAGGCCTACGAGCCGTCGGCGTTCACCGTGGACGGCCGGCGCCTGAGTCTGCGATTGTACGTCTTCCTCTCGCGCGACGCGCGCGGCGCGCGGCGCGCGTTCCTCCACCCCGCGGGCCTCTGCCGCTACGCGACCCGGGCGTACGACGCGGACGCGGACGACGACGCGTCCCACGTCGCGAGACCGCAGACCTCGAAGCTGCCGGCGACGGTCGCGGATCTGGAGGCGCGCCTCGGCGCCCGGGACTTTGGCGCGCTCTTCGCCAAGGCGGCCGGTGCGCTCGGCGCGGTCTTCGCGGCGTTGGCGCCCGACGCGCTCCGCGGCGGCGCGGGGCCCCGGGCCGCGGTCTACGCCGCGGACCTCGTCGTGACGGCGAGCCTCGCGCCGCGCGTCCTCGGCGTCCACGCTGCGCCCAAGGAGAGCGCGGTCCGGGAGGACTTTGGGGACTTCGTCGCCGCGCTCCGGGAGGACGACTTCGCGCGGTCCGCCGCCGTCGCGGGCCTCGTGCCCCTGCACGCGCGCGCCCAGTACCGCTAAGATTGCAGCTCAGCTCGCCACCGGTCTTCCGGCACGCGCGCGCCCAGTACCGCGAAGCATGTTACAGCTCGCCGCTGGTCTTCCGGCAGTCGACCGCGCAGAGGTTGCAGGACCGGGGGCACTTGTCGAGCATGGCGTCCTGGTCGTCCATGGAGTACTCGTGCACGAAGCTCAGGTGGTAGCGCAGGCAGTCGAAGCCCGCGTGGGCGGCGCAGTGCTCGCCGTACTTGTCGACCCACGTCGCGTCGTCGTCGCAGGGGCAGTCCTCGACGCGCCAGGCCTCGCGCTCGATCGCGTGCGCGCGCGCCGCGCGGACGCGGAAGTCGTTCGGTCGGTCGCGCGCGTAGGGGTGGTCCAGCGCCTCGCGGAGGAACTCGCCGGTGCCCTCGTAGTGGCTGGCGTCGGTGTAGAGCGCGCGGTAGTAGAGCGCCATGAACCCGCCGCGCTTGGGGTTGTCGCCGCACGACTGGGGCACGTCCTTGCCCTCGAGGAAGAGGCCGTGGATCGCGCCCGTGCACGGCGACGAGAAGCTCGTGATGTAGTGTTGCTGGGCGACCTCGCGCGCCTTCTCGAACTCGTCGCCGCCGCGCCGCGTCGCCGCGGCGACGTAGAAGAGGAGGTGCTCGACCTGGCCGGGGACCGTCTCGAGGACCGCGACGAGCGCGTCCATCGCGTCGTCGTAGCGCCCCGCGAGGTAGAGCACCTGCGCGTGCTGCAGCACGAGCGACGGCGCCTGGTCCTGGTCCGCGACGGCCCAGGAGAAGATGTGCGCGCTCTGGTTGTGGTCGCCCATGGTCATCATGAGGACGGCGTGGTCGATGGCCGCGTTGGCGCTCTTCCAGGCGACGTGCGGATAGGTCGTGGTCGTCTCCGCGCCGGCGCCGGCGGCGGCGGTCGCGAGCAGCGCGGCGGCGATGCAGAAAAGGCGAGGTGAGCGCATCGCTGAGGTTTTCGTTTGGAGATCGGGTCCCATCGGATCGATCGTCGCAATTTCTGTTCAAGTGCACATCACGTGCAGTCGTTGAACGAGGCCCTCGATCCGGCCGTAACTCCGCCCGAAGTCCTCAAAAAAAAAAATGCCACCAGACACCCCGTTTTTAAAACCCGACCCTTACGTCGACTCCTCCTCGTCCTCCTCCTCGTCCTCCGGCTCCTTCTCGACGGGTCGGACGAGCTGGAGCGTCAGCGGCCGCGGCGAGTTCTTGATGAAGGTCATGGCCTTGTCGAAGTCGACGGAGTCGGCGCAGGTGTCGTAGTCGCGGCGCGTCTGCTCGTCCGCGAGGACCGCGTAGGCCTTGTTGACGGCGACGAAGAGCGACTTGCGGCCGCCGCGGTCCGGGTGCGTCTTCAGCGACGTCTTCTTGTAGGCCTTGCGGATGGCGGACTCGTCGGCGTCCTTGGCGACGCCGAGGAGGCGGTAGGGGTCGTTGTCGGACGACGCGGGCCGGTTCGAGACGCCGTCGCCGTTGACGCCGACGAGGCGGCTCCCGACGACGATGCCCGCGGCGTCGGACTGCCCCCCGGGCTTGACGTGGACGACGGCGATGACGTGCTTCCCGTTGACCGTGTGCTGCTCCAGGCGCAGGCCCAGGGGCCCCGGCCGCGGGATCGTCGCGTCGTACGTGCCCGGGTCGCGGCCCGCGGGCTCCGGCGCGGGCGCCGCCGCCGCCGGCGGCGGCGACCGGGGCGCCGGCGACGCCGCCGCGGGCGCCGGCGGCGGCGGCGCGGCCTCGCTGCGCAGGAGGCTCAGGCGCAGCGGCCGGTCCGCGCCGGCGATGACGTGGCGCACGTCGTCCAACGTGAAGCCGTCGAGCGGCTCGCCGTTGACCGCCGCGACCTGGTCGCCGACGAGGATCCCCGCGTCGCAGGCCGGCAGGTTGTCGCCGACCTCGCTGACGACGAACGTCCGCGGCGGGCCCGGCGTCTCCCGGAGGCCGAGGCCCAGCGCGCCGTCCTGGTCGATGACGACCTCGTAGACGTTGAGCGTCGCGGCGCGCCCGCGCGTCGACGCCGCCGGCGCGTCCCCGTCGCCGTCGCCGTCGCGCAGGCTCGCGGCCGCGGCCGCGACCGCGGCTTTGAGCTCCGCGACCATGCGCATCGCCGCGTCGGACTCGAAGACCAGGGACAGCTCGAGGTCGCCGCGCGCCGTGTCGTCCGCGGCCGGGTCGCGCGGCGGCGACGCGGGCTCGTCGCCGCGGTAGAGCAGCGCCGGCGACGCGCCGTCGCCGCCCAGCGCCGCGACGTAGGCCATGGACTCGTGCAGCGCCGGCGCCCGGTCCTTGAGCCGGTAGCTCACGGGCGCGCCGCGCGCCGGGTAGTGGTCGTGGACCTGGCCCGCATGGTCGACGGGCCGCTCGCTCAGCTCCCAGGGCGGGCACGGGTAGCCCGCGGGCGGCGCGCCCATACTGTTGTGGCTGCCCCAACTTTGGGCCGCCTTCAAGGAGCCCCGAGTTGAACTTACGGTAAAAATTCGACGGGCTCCTCCCACGTGCTCGCCGGCAGGGCCATGCCGCTCGGCGCCACCTTCAGGCCGCCGGCGCTCTTCTGCTTCTCGAGCCGCAGCGCCTCGCGGTAGCTGTCCGTGCCCGAGCCCGCGAGGAGCCGCTTCGCGTGCGGCGGCTCGGAGAAGGTGCAGAGGCCGCCGCCGCCGCCGGGCACGGGCACGATCCAGTGGATGAGCGCGCGGCCGACCTGCGCGGCCCAGCAGCACCAGAACGCCTTGTAGCCGACGCCGAGCGTGAAGCTGACGTCCCTGCCGCCGTGCGTCGCGCCCGCCATGTGCGCGTAGCAGTCGTCGACGAAGCCGTTCAGGCCGCCGATGCCCGTGACGGCCGTCAGCGTGTCCGGCATGCAGCCGATGAGCTTCTGGAAGTTCGTGTCCTGGCGCCAGCGGATGCGCGTGAGGCAGCCCATCATGGCGAAGATTAAGGTGAAACACGTCACGTAGGCGTTCTGCTGCTGGGAGCCGACCCACGTCTCCCAGTCGCCGCCGCCCGACGCCGACCGGTGGCAGCCGTTGATCGTCGCGCAGTCGAAGATGCCCAGCGACCCGTCGTCGCCGTCGCAGAGCTTCGCCGCGCGGTCCCAGTTCTGCCGCTCGTTCGTGCAGCGGCTCATGGGCTGCTTCCACGCGTCCTGGCCCTCGTCGCAGTCGTCCCACGCGCATTTCTCGAAGACGATGGACCGGAGGCCGATCTCCGCGGACATGCCCACGCAGCCCGCCGCCGTCTCGTTGAGCATCACCCACGCGAAGGCCCAGTTCGTGTACGTGATCACGGTCTCGTCGTTGCTGCCCGCGCCGAAACAGCCCAGCACGGCGACGGGGATGGACGCCACGGTCAGCGCGAGCGCGAGGCCCATGAGCGGCTTCCGGTGCGCGTCGGCCCAGCGCGTGCCCACGTTGCCGAAGATCCGCATGCGCCGATTGTCGTTGAGCACGCGGTTGTGCGGATCGAAGACCCAGCTCAGGATCGGCACGGGCGGCGGCTTCGGGCTCTCAATGCTGTTCTCGTCGAGCCAGAAGCCCGGGCAGCACCGCTCGTCGCAGCCGTCCGCGGGATGCGGCGGGTCGGACGACGGCTCCATGGGCGTCACGCAGCACGACGGCAGCGAAGCGTTCCCGCAGTGATTCGTGTGGCATTGCGAGTGGCACGACGCGTCGTCGACGTCGGGCTGCGTTGTCGTTGTCATGGTCCGCGTTTTACTTCCATAATTAAGCGCTGACTGCACTTTAGCTTCAAGAATCGTTCGCGCAATTATGGGCATTAAAATGCTGCCCATTAGCATCCTCATGAGCGCGCTCGCGGGCGTCACCTCCATGACCGTGACGCCGCTCGTCCAGGATGTGAAATCGCCCTCCTACACGATCCCGGGCGGCACCTGCATGGCCTTCTCCGTCCCATTCGAGGGCGGGAGCAAGAAGAAGATGGTCGTGGAGGTCTGGGACTCGGCGGAGTCGCTGATGTATGTGGCCGTCGGCACGGCGCGCTACAACAACAAGGACGCCTACGGCGACCCGGCGACGCTCAGCGCCTGCGCGACGCGGAAGGGCAATAACCCCTTCGACGACTCCGACGTCTCGCCGACCTGCTGGGGTGGGTACTACGACGACGTGGACGTGTCCGGCTACCTCGACCTCGACTGCGACGACCAACTCGGAAGCGCGGCCCTCGAGATGGGCGGGGATTCCACTGCCGAGTTCAAGTTCATGGCCTCCGACGACGACGGGTGCAAGACGGAGGACGGCACCTACTACATCTACGCGTTCGCGAGGGTGACGACGACCGTGAACCTCGAGGTCTCCAAGGGCGGCGTCGGCTCCACGTGCAAGCTCTCGAAAGCGTCCTCGCTCGCCGGCACGATCGTCGGCCTCATCTTCGCGTGCTGCTTCTTCGGGTGCATCTGCGCGGGCTGCTTCTATATGAAGAATCGGCGCCAGCAGGACCCCCACCGCTACGGCTACGGCTTCTACGGCGGCGCGGCGGTCCCGCCCGCCGGCGGCTACGCGACGGCCGGCCAGCCCGCCGGCTGGGCCGGCCAGCCGCAGCAGCCGGTCGCCGGCGTCGTCGTCTCGCAGCCGCCGGTCACCGGCGTCGTCGTCTCGCAGCCGCCGCAGCCGCCGATCACCGGCGTCATCGTCTCGCAGCCGCCCCCGCCCGTCGCGGGCGCCGTCGTCGTCGGCGGGCAGCAGCCCGCCTACGCGCCGCAGCCCGTCGTCGTCGCCGCGACCGCGCACCAGCCCGTCGCCTACGCCACGGCCCCGACGGCCCCGCCGACCTTCTCGGCCGAGCTCCCGTCGAAGCACTAAAGGCGCGCGGGCGCGCGCCTCCGCGCTCAGTTTTGCAGGACCTCGCCGAGCGAGGGCCGCTTCGCGGGCGTCTCGTTCTTCCCGCAGCAGACGATGTCGAGGAGGCCAATGGGCCGCTCGCTCGGCGGGACGCTGTACTGGGCCTCGACGGGGCTCAGCAGGGCGCCCGGGCAGGCGCACTGCTCGTCGCCCTTGGCCAGGTGCGCGAGGTGCGCCGCGTCGTCGATGGCCTCGTGCGCGAGCCCGTCGACGACGCCCTCGGCCGTGCGCACGCCGGGGATGGCCTCGGCCGTCTCGATGGCGCGGGCCACGGCGTCGCTCGTCGCGTGGGGCTCCTCCGGCGCCGGCTCCGGCTCCGGCGTCTCCATCGCGCGGAGCGACGCCGGGCTCGGAGGCTCGATGAGCCGCTCCTCGTTCCAGGAGATGTGCTTGCTCAGGCGCTTCGGCGCGCCCTTGCCGTCGCCCTGCTTCCACTGCTTCTTCCGCGCGTCGCGCCGCTTCTCGTACTCCGACTTTTTCTCGAAGCACGCGAAGAGGCGCCACGGCTTCCGCTCGCGCGGCGCGAACTTCGCGCCGCCGCCGCCGCCGCTTTTCCCGACCATGGCCGTGCCGCGCCGCTGGGCGACGCCGCCGGTCCGGATGTTCTCGGGCGGCGTGTCCCGCCGCACCTGCGCCGTCGGGCTGCTCGTCCCGCGCCGCACGACGCGGCCGCTCCCGCGCCGCGCCGCCGCCGACGCCGGCATGTTTCTCTGGGGTTTCTCGGCGCGTGTGCGGGAGCCGGCGCCGCGGCCGGCCCGCGCCCACGGACGGGCAGCACGGGCACGGCGGCGGCGGCGACGTGCAAGAACTCGGAGCTTATCGTATGGTCGAGTATGGCGACCCAGATATCTCGTTGTTGAGCGTCAACATCACGAGCTTGAATCGTGGGGCTATGTTGAGGCGCATGGGCTTCGCAGTAATGCGTGTATGCGCATGCAATAATGCGAGGCTAGTCACCTAGAAACATGGCTGCCATCATCAATGCACCAGCCATCGACGCACCGGCCATCGACGCGCCACCCGGCGACGCGCTCGCCTGCGCGAAGCGCGGCGACGTCGAAGCGCTCGCGCGCCTCGGCGCGCCGGCGCTGCGCGCCGTGGACCGCTACGGGTCCGGCGCGCTCCACTGGGCCGCCGGGCGCGGCCACGTCGCCTGCTGCCGCTGGCTCGTCGAGCGCGGCGGCCTCGACGCGTCCGGCGCCGCGGAGCCGCCCGTCGCCGGCGCCGCGCCGACGACGCGGGGCCGCACGCCGCTGCACTTCGCGGCGCGGAACGGGCGGGTCGCCGTCGTGCGCTACCTCGCCGGCCTCCCCGGCGTCGACGCCGACGCGCGCGCGTTCCGCGGCGTGTCGCCGCTGCAGCTCGCGGTCTGGCGCAACGAGCTCGAGACCGCCGAGGCGCTCGTCGACGGCCACGGCGCCGACGTTGCGCAGGTCAACGACGTCGGCTGCGCGCTGCCCCACTGGCTCGCCATCGCGCCGCGGGACGTCGCCGGGCCCGGCGGCGCCGACCTCCTGCCGCTCGCGCGTTGGCTCGAGGCGCGGCTCGGGCGCGCCGCCGTCGTCTCCGCGAGGAACGCGCATGGCCACGCGCCGCTCCACAAGGCCGCGTGGCTGGGCCACGACCGGCTCTGCGCGCACCTCGTGGGCCTCGGCGCGACGGACGCGGGGCCCCCGCGCGCGTCGGACGAGGCCGACGCCGCGGGCTACCCGCGCCTCGCGGCGTTCCTCCGGCTCCGCGCGGACCCGGCGGAGGCCGCGCGCTGCCGGGACCTCCTGGGCGTCGCCGACGACGCGGGCGCCGACGCGATCCGCGCCGCCTTCCGGACCGCGGCGCGGCGCGCGCACCCGGACGCCGGCGGCGGCGGCGGCGGCGGCGTCGGCGCCGCGCAGGCCGCGCGCGACTACCTCCTCCGGCGCCTGGACCCGGACCTGCGCCCGTCGGCGGACGATCGCAAGGCGACGCGGCGCGTGCCGCTGCTGCTGCGCGCGCTCGCGGGCGCGGCCTACGGCGGCGGCGCGCCCGCCGACGCGGCCGTGGCGACCTTCGGCGCGCGCTGCGCGGCCGCGGCCTCGGAGCACGGCGACGGCGGCATGCCCCTCGCGACGCTGCCGCGCAAGTTCAAGGCGCTCTGGAACGTCGAGCTCCTCGACGCCGCGCGGGACGCGGGCCTGCCCGCGCGCCGCGGCCTGAAGCGCGTCCTCTGGTCCATCAAGTTCGCCGTCGTCGTCCGCGGCGACGTCGTCCGCCCGCGCTGCACGGCCGCGGACGTGGAGACGGCGCTGCTCGATACCGGCTAGCTCTTAGGTTCCTCGTCGTTGTTGACCTGGGAGAGGATGGCGATCCAGATGATCTCGCACGCGTCCACCCAGAGCAGTTTGAGCTCCGAGGGGATGAGCGCGGAGAAGGTCACGGTGTGCACGACCGGCCAGAATCGGAGGCTCACTTGCATGCCGGGCAGCCAGGTGCTGTTGACGTCGTCGAGGATCGCCCGCGGGCTCCGCAGCGCGAACGCGCCGATGAGCGACGTGTAGAGCCTGCGCGCGGGGGTTGCGGCGCGGACGCGGAAAGAGACGCCGGCGCCGCGCGTGTTGTAGACGATGGACATGGGGCCCTGGTCGAGCAGGATCTTCGGCAGCACGCCGATGTCCAGCGAATCCATGTACCCCAGCCAGTAGTGGGCGACCGGGCCGTGTCCGACGAAACCGGCCGCGGAGCTCCTCGCGGCGCGCGCGAGGTCCAGCCGCTCGACGTCGCGCTCCTCCATGCGCAGGCCCTGGGCGAGCAGGTCGCCGACGAAGTAGCAGTAGGCGGAGGTCAGCGCTTTCACGAGCACGGGCCGCGCGAGCGCCGCCTCGTCGTACCAACTTAGCCAGTCCGTCGGGAACCGCCGCAGGACGTCGGCGGCCGTCGCGGCCGTGAGCCGGTGCGTCTCGTAGAGGTTCGCGTACTCGAGCGCGTCGTTGTGCAACAGCGCGACTGCCGAGGACACGGCGACGGCGCCGAGGATCGCACCATTCATCCTGCCGCTTTTCAGCACCAGCGCGTCGACGGGAGTTGCGGCAATCTCTGCAGCCGCGTCGGCCACCGCTCGAGCTGGCGGGCTGCGTCGACGCGTCGGCATCTGGATTGATTGCGTCGCCAGCGGCAGCGCAACTAGCGCCCAAAAGATGCGGGCCATCTCGCCGAGGTGACGGGCTGACTCTTCGCAGCATCCGATCGGAAGGCCTCAAACTTCAACATGAAGCGATGCCCGGAGATCGCCGCGCCCCGTGCGACCGTTCGCCGCTGTCGCCGCAACGAACGACAACACGAGACACAATTTCACTTAGACGAGCGAGCGCATGATGTACTTGAGGGGCACGGCGCGGTCCGGGTTCATGCCCGTCTCGTCCTGGTCGTCCTGGAACTGGCAGTGGCAGACGGCGTTGCCCGCGCCCGCGCGCCGCGCGGGCATGGAGACGACGGCGTGGTAGAAAGACGTCGTGTCCGGGTAGACCGCGAAGACCTCGTCGCCCTTCTGGAGGCGGTTCGCGGCCTCGCCGTCGACGATCGTCGCGAGGCAGGAGACGACGCCCGTGAGGACGTGGGCCTGGGGCACGCCGCGGCCGCTGTCCGTCAGCGGCACGACGCGCGACTCGCTGAGCTCGTAGACCTTGCGGTCGTCGTCCGCGTCCGCGACGTCGTAGCGCGCGACCTCTGCCTTGTATCGGACGACGCGCGCCAAAATCCAGGCGTCCTTGTCGTAGTCGTCGAGGCGGATGGCGACCTCGTCGCCGGGCCGCGCGGCGCCCACGGCCTCGAACTCGCCCGTCGCGTGCAGGTGCTCCGACAGCGCCGCGAGCTCGCCGTTGATGACGTCGATGTGGCGGCTCACGAGCGCCTCCGTCTGCGCGGCGACGGCGAGCTTCTCGTCGCTCAGCGCGTCGACGCGCCGCCGCTTCTCCGCGAGCGCGGCGAACTCCTTGGCCGGCGGCGCGCAGCTCCCGAGGTCCTTGGCGTCCTTCGTCTTCTCGAGCTTGTCGCCGACCTTCTTCGCGACCGCGGCCTCGGCCTTCTCGAGCTCGCCGAGCTCCTTGGACGCGACGCCGTCGAGCTCGTGGATGAGGTCGAAGTGGCGCTTCACGGCGCCGGGCACCGGCGCGATGAGCTCGATGACATCCTCGATGACCGTGTCCTGGGAGCAGCTCCGCAGCGACAGCGGGTCGCGCATGGACATGGCGCGGCCGTCGCTCGGTTCGCGGGCGCGGCGCCGCGGTCGTTCGCGCGCCTTCGGCGGAGCGGGGCGGCGCGGCGGCGGCGCGGGGCGGCGCGGCGGGCTGCGGCGGCGCTCTCCGCGGCGAGCTCTGCCAAAAAACAGCCCGGCCTCCAGCGCCGGCCGGCGTCGCCGCCGCCTTCGCGGTCGTCGCGTAGCGCAACCACCGCGCCGCGGTTCGCGCCACCATGGCCGACGGCATGAACGTGATGATCCCGCTCGGCGGCATCGGGTCGCGCTTCCAGAAGGAGGGCTACAAGTACCCGAAGCCGTTCGTGAAGGTCCTGGGCAAGGAGATGATCCTCTGGGTCGTCGACAACCTGAAGCTCGGCCCGAAGGACACGCTCGTCGTCGTCTACAACCCCAAGTTTCTCGACATGCGCGAGCTCATGGAGATGGTCGTCGAGCGCGTGCCGGGAACGGTGCTCGTCGAGCTGCCGCGGCCGACGCTCGGCGCGGCCGAGACGGTGCGCTTCGGCCTCGAGGGCCTCGACGCCCGGCTGCGGAAGCGGCCCTGCATGCTCGTCGACGGCGACACGTTCTACACGGCGGACATCGTGTCCGCGTACCGCGCGATCGCCGACGCGGCCGGCGGCTCGTTTTGCTTCGAAGACACGCAGCCCAAGCCCATGTACAGCTACGTCACGCTCGGCGCCGACGGCAAGGAGATCACGGGCATCAAGGAGAAGGTGAAGATCTCCGACTGGGCGAACACGGGCTGCTACTGCTTCCGCGACGGCGAGCGGCTGCTGCACTACTGCGGCGTCATCATCGACAGGGGCGAGACGCAGCTGAGCCAGGACATGAAGGGCGAGTTCTACACGTCGGGCGTCATCAAGGCCATGCTCGACGACGGCGAGCGCTTCGAGGCGCTCGTGCTCGACCGCGACTGCATGCACGTGCTCGGGACGCCCGCGCAGCTCGTCGACTTTTGCCGCGCGTGGCCGTCGCCCGAGGCGTACCGCGTCTGCTTCGACCTCGACAGCACGCTCTTCACGGCGCCGCGCGTCAAGGGCGACTACGCCACCTGCGAGCCCATCCCCCGGGCCGTGGCCATGCTGAAGCACCTCAAGGCCATGGGCCACTACATTATCCTCCACACGGCGCGCCGCATGCGGACGCACTCCGGCAACGTCGGCGCCATCGTCGCCGACGTCGGCGCCGTGACCATGGAGTCCCTGCGCAAGGCGGGCGTCGAGTACGACGAGCTCGCCTTCGGCAAGCCCTGGGCCCAGTTCTACGTCGACGACAAGGCCGTCTGGGCCTACGCGGACCTGGAGAAGGAGCTCGGCTACTACCCGCCGACGGCGCCCTGCGTCGCGTCCAAGTACGCCGCGCCGCCGACGCCCCGGCGCGCGGCGCCGCCGGCGCCGGGGCCGCCGCTCCTCACGGTCGCGCTCGCGGCCTACGCGGTCCTCGCGACCGCGGCGCTCGTCGCCCTCCGCGCGAAGAAGTAGGTAGATTTTTGGAGTTTAGACCGCGGGAGCGGCAGGTGTCGATCGAGGGAGCCCGCGCTCAGAAGCCGATGTCGTGCAGCGACAGCGCGACGATGACGACGTCGTAGAGCAGCGCGACGACGATGGCGGAGATGAAGACCTGGAAGTAGGCCTCGTTGCCCTTGCCGATGACGATGCCGGACCAGGGGCAGAAGTGGTTGTACTCCTCGATGAGCACCTGGCACTGCTGGCAGTAGATGACGCCCGGCGGTCGGTAGCTCTGCGCGTACTCGCTGTAGGTCCAGTTCTGCGCGAGGGGCTTGCTATAGCGGGGGAAGATGCCCGGGTCGTTGAGCGCCGTGCACAGCAGGCTCGTCACCGCCAGGATCGTCAGGCTCAGCCCGATGATGCGCTCGAGCTTCTCGTCCTGCGGGATCACCCAGACGTAGATCATGAGGCTCACGGACGTCACCACGCACAGCGTGATGATCAGAAAGTGCCAGTAGGGGCCCAGCACGAGGCGCCGCTTCTTCCCGTCGCTCCGGCTCCACTCGGCCAGGATGTAGATGTTCCCGAGCTTGCGGATTTTCAAACCGCCGAAGCAGACCTTCTCCTCCCGGATGGGCCAGTTCCCGCTCTCGACCATGGTCGCGCGCACCGGCGCCGCCGCACCGTCGCGGCGCGCACCGCCCCGGACACCCCCGCGGCCGACCCGAGGCACGGGACCGGCGGCCGACGACGACTACAGAGGCTGCCTCACCCCTCGTCCTCCAACTCTGGGTACCGATCTTGACGCTGTTTGTTGAACAGGCAATAAGGCTTGCGGCAAATAAGCGATAGAGCCTCTTAGAGTGGGCACGACCAGCCGCCGACGTTCGCGACCAGCAGTCCAAGGCAGCCGGACGATCGCAGCAGCGCGTGTCGCACGATGTCGACGCTCGGCATCGAGGTCGCCACGACGGTGGAGCCCATGGAGACGGACTACATCGTCGTCGAGGGCGCCGAGTCGACGGACGCGCTGGGCGCGGCGATCTGCCAATCGTCGCTCACGATCCGCATGGAGCGCGACGGCGCCGAGCTGGCGAAGCCGCTCGAGCTCACCCTCAAGATGACGCCGGACACGATCGAGCCCGTCTTCAGCGGCGCGAGTTGGGCGGGGACCGTGCTCTGGCGCGCGGCCGCGCGCCTCGTCGACCGCGCGCTGCTGGCGCCCGGCGCGCCCGTGAGCGTCGCGGGCCGGAGCGTCGTCGAGCTCGGCGCCGGGCTGGGCGTGCCGGGCATGGTCTGCGCGCGCCTCGGCGCAGCGCCTGTCGCGCTCACGGAGCAGGCGTCGCTCGTCGACCTGCTCGAGCGCAACGTCGCGGCGAACTTCGCGCCGGAGGCGGCGAAGACCATCGACTGCCGCGAGCTCTTCTGGTCCCGGGAGAAGGCGCGCGAGCTCCGGGACGAGCTCCTCGGCGGCGCGCCCGTCGACGTGATCCTCTGCTGCGACTGCGTCTACGTGCCCCTCTACGGCGACTGCTGGATCCAACTGCTCGAGGCCATCGACGCGCTCGCGGGCCCGACCTCCGACGTCCTCATCGCCGTCGAGCGGCGCCACGTCCGCGACGGCGACGACGGCGTCGACGCGTTCCTCGCGGGCATGGCCGCGAACGGCTTCGCCGCGAGCGAGCTCGCGACGGCCGCGCCCGTCGTGCTGCTGCACTTCACGCGGCGCGCCACCTAACGCATCTCGATCGATCCCGTTTTCTCGTGTTCAACTTGGCGACGTTGCCCCCTATTATGAAAATTGAGTCAAACTGTTTGGAGGTGGTGTGCTCCGATCGTCGCCCCCCGGGGGCTGCTGGTCCCTGAAACATGTCGTCCTACGACGAGGTCATGGCGGAGTCGCGGCGGCTGGCCCAGCGCCAGATCCAGCAGCGCAACGAGGCCAACGCGGCGGCCTGGGCGCGGGCGCACCCGAACACGCCGCCGCCCCGGCCGAAGACGCGGTTCCTCTTCTTCGAGTGGGACGCCTTCGACCTGTTCTGCTGCGCGCCCCAGGCCTGCGCCCTCCACCTCGAGGACCCCCTGGAGGCCGCCGAGTACGACGACTACGACGACTACGACGACGCACGCGCGGGCGGCGTGCTCCTCGACGTCGAGATCGACAAGCGCCAGGGCCTGGGCGGCTCCGTGCACACGATCCAGCTCGAGGCGCGGCTGGAGGAGGACGTGCCGGCCATATCGCCCGCGACGTCGGACCTGGGGCGGCCGCGGGACAACGCGAAGCGGCTCAGCGGCACGTGGGACGACGATCTGTACGACCGCGCGGGGGGCCTCGAGCGGAACCTCGAGGTCTTCGTCGAGGATTTGGACGAGGGCAGCCGCGCGCCGACGGTGGCGCTGACGCGCGACGCGCCGCGCACGCCCGAGCCGCGCCACGCGGCGGTGGACGTCGGCACGCCCGTGACGGCGTCGCGGCGCGCGTCGTCGACGAAGCGCGCGACGAAGACGGGCCACGAGGTCATGGTGCTCGTGCGCGACCCCGTGGCGTCGGCGGGGCCGCCGCCCGTCGACGACGACGCGCCGCCGCCGCCGCCGCCGCGGCTCCCCGCGGCCGCGGAGCCGGAGCCGGCCGCGGAGCCGGAGCCGGACGCGCCGGCGACGCCCGCGCGCGAGCCCGCGCCCGACGACGTCCACGACGCCGCGGGGCTCGTGGAGGAGCTGGAGCGCGTCGACGGCGACTTCAAGCGCTTCCGCCGGCTCTCGCGCGCGGTCGTGAGCCCGGGGTTCTCCTTGTCGTGCCGCGACCTGCCGGCGGTGCTCGACCTCTTCGACCTCAGCTACAACAAGATCAAGGCCGTCTGCAAACTCCACGCCAAGCTCGACGACAAGGAGGACGCCTTCGACGAGACCCTCGAGGCCCTCTTCGACGGCGCGAGCAAGGGCATGAACTGCGACCGGGTCCGCGGCGAGCTCGGCCTCCCGAAGAAGGGCCGGGGCGGCGCGGCCTGAGACGGCGAGCTCCGTCGTCGGGGACGGCGCGCGCGCGTAACGTGACGCGTCGAGAGCGGCGATGGCGGCTGTAACGGCCTCGACAGAGGGAACTTGAAGCCTCGTTGATGTTGCTTTTCGCACTTGCGATCATCGACACGACTGCGATGATGCGCTTTGCGGTCCTGCTCGCGGTGGCCCATGCGCTCGTCGCCACCACCCATATGCAGCAGCGCGCGTCGAAGCGCTTCATGTCGACCTGCGCCGAGCCAGCGATCAACTACGACGCCTGGCTCGAGGAGGCCGGCATCGGCGGCAAGTTCGCCATCGACGGCGACGGCGTGCGCGCGACGGCCGACATCGACGGCCTCGAGGTCGTCGCGACGGTGCCGGACGCGCTCGCGCTCGCCGTCGACGCCGACGCCGACTGGGCGGGCTCGCTGTGCCGCGCGGCGATCGAGGCGCGCGGCGCCGGCGGCCCGCGCGCGGCCTACGTGCGGAGCTGGACGGGCGGCGGCTGGGCCACGGACTCGGGCGACCTGGACGCCCGCGACCGCGAGCTCGACTGCCTGCTTGCGACGGGCAGCGACAACGACTTCGAGATCTACAAGAAATTCGGGCTGAAATGCCACCCGGCCGTGGACCGCGCGGCCTACCGCCTCGCGGCGCTCGCGGGCTGCCGCAAGGAGACCGCCGCCCGTGCCATGCTGAGCGCGCGCGGCTTCGAGTTCCGCCGCTGCCGCGAGGCGCTCATTCCCCTGGTGACGGAGCCGACGCGGACCGAGGGCACGGCGCGGCGGCGCCGCGAGCTCGAGGTCGCCGAGGTCTTCTCCAAGGCGCTCGCGCGCGCCGCGCTCGTCGACGCCGAGGGGGCGCCGACGGTCGCCGTCGTGCCCGTCCACGACGCGCTCCGGCACGCGCCGACCGCGAACACGAAGCTCGTCCGGGATCCCCGCTACGACGACGCCTTCTGCCTCGTCGCGACGCGGGCCGTCGGCGCGGGCGAGGCGCTCACGCGCGACTTCGGGACCGCGCCGAGCCTCGGCCAGCTCAACGGCGGCGACGGCGACGCCGAGGACGAGGCCCTGCGGCTCCTGCTCCACTTCGGCATCCGTCCCTAGTAATTGTTATTTCCGCTTCTGCGAATAGGGCCTCGCGGATGACCCGTGGTGGCCCTTGCCTTCTTTCCGCTGCTTGATTTGCTGCTTCTTCTCGCTCTTGTGGGCCCGGGCGCGCACCGACGCCTTGGTCTCGTCGAGCGCGAAGAGGCGGCGCGCCTTCGGGCACTCCGTGCAGAGGTCGAAGTCGAGGTTCTCCCGGATCTGGGACGCCTCGGACGCCGTGAGCGCCGGGTTCGAGCATCGGCAGCGCGCGCCGCGTTCGAGCCAGCAGTCGCCGAAGGTCCAGTCGTTCCGATCGACGACGCCGTACGCGTCGGAGGCCCCGGCGAGCGCCTCGCGCAGCGGCTGCAGGAACCACCGGGGCGCGCGCGCGGCGGCCCAGTCGACGGGCGCCGCGGCGGCGCCGCCGCCGGCGCAGCGCCCGGCGACGAAGAGCGCGTCGTCGCCGCGCCAGCGCGCGAAGTGGAGCACGCGCGGTCCCGTCGGCGCCGGCCGCGGGTCGTAGGCCGGGCCCCAGCAGAGCGCGCGCGCGTCGGCGCCCCGGCCCGCGTCGCCGAACGCGATCATGGAAGCGCTCGTCGGTCGGTAGGCCGACGACGACCAGTACGTCGAGCGCCGCGTCGCGGCGAGCGCCGCGAGGGCGACGTCGAGGCGCCCGCCGAAGGCGACGTCGACAAGGAACGTCGCGGCGGCGACGTCGCGGAGCGAGCCGCAGGCGCCGCCGTCGTCCGCGCGCACGAAGTCCACGCGGACGCCGTCGCCCGCGCCGTCCGCGGGGGTGTGGGGCGCGAGCGCGGCGCGAACGAGGGCGTACCAGAGCGAACCGTCTCGCACGAGCGCCGCCGCGCGCCGCCGCGTTAGCGAGCTTGTTTCCAAGAGCGCAGCGAGGCTGCGTACGCCGAGGAATGCGTGCGTCGCCCGCGCGGCGGCGCCGGGCGCGCTGCGTAGGAGGCAGCGTGGCGGGACCGCGACGTCGTCGCCGTCGCGCGGCGCGCGCGGCCAGCTCTGCGCGGCTCCAAGCCAGGGCGGCGGCTCGACGACCATTGCTTTGTACGGAGCTGCACGCTGCTTTGTACAGTTTTACGCGAGCCCCATGCTTGCTTCGGGAATGTTCGGGCTGCCCCGTCCGTTTAAAAGTGCACCTTGAACTGCTCGCGAAGTCAACGTTTGCGATCTCGGGTGGCGCGTCTACGTCTCGCTGCCGTTAGCCACTGACGCGGTCCGCGCGCTCCGACGCCCGCCGGCGGATCGCGGCGAGGAAGCTCTCGCCGGCCTCGGGCGCGGCGAGCTTCGCGCGCGGCGGCGGCTTCGCGGCGAGCTCCGGCGGGTCGTCGTCGTCGTCGTCGTCGATGAAGGGCGGCGTCAGCGACCGGCGGCGGAGCGTCTTCTTGAGGTCCGCCATGAGGTCGCCGCCGCCGCGCGCGGGTCGCGCGGCGAGCTTCGCGCGCACGCGCTCCGTCGTCTCCTTCTTCGGGAGCACGAAGGACCGCGCCGCGGGCCCGTCGGCGAAGGACGACGTCCGCCGGAGCTGGGCTTTGGCGAGGGACACGATCGACCCGCGCTTGCCCCGCGGCGCGTCCAGCGGCGGCGGCGGCGCCTCGCCCTCCGCGGAGTCGCCGTCGCTCCCCCGGAATCGGCCGTCGTCGTCCTCGGCGCCCATCGTCGCCGCCTCCATCATCTCCGCCAGGGACCGGGCGTCGTCGTCCTCCTCCTCGGCGACGTCGTAGGTCGTGACGACGGCGACGACGGGCGCGTCCGCGTCGAACGGACCCAGGACCTCGCCGTCGTCCGCCGGGTAGGCCGCGTGGCGCCGCTTGCGCTTGTCCAGAGACCCCGCGTCGTCCGCGGCGACGCGGCTCTGGAGCCGCTCGAGCAGGCCGTCGCGCCAGGCGTCCTTGCGCCGCGCCGCGTCGTTCTCGAACGCGAGGTCGCGGACGCGGCCGTACAGCGCCCGCAGCTCGCGGAGGTCCAGGTCCTCAAACGCGAACTTCCCCCGCAGGTCCGCGTCGTGGACCCGCGCCGCGAAGGCGTCCTCGGCGCGCAGGAGCCAGAGCGCGGGCCGCTCGTAGACGCGCTGCGCGAGCGCCTCGCTCAGCCCCGCGGCGACGAGCCGCTCGCGGCTCGTGCCGCTCGCGAAGACGTCCGGCGGCACGCAGGTCTTGAGCGCCCGGGCGGCGTCGGCGCAGGCCTCGCCGTTCGCGTCCCACCACCGCTCCCTGGCCGCGCGCTGCGCCTCGACGTGCTCCGGGTGGTGCGTGATGAACGTGTCCCACTTCTCCATCTCCGCCTCGGCCTCGGCCTGCGTGAGCTGGCGCTCGCTGGCGCGGCGCTTGCTCGCGCCGTCGCCGCCGACGATGACGGCGAGCGCGGCCTGGAGCCGGTGTTTCGCCTCCGCGAGCGGCACGACCTCGGTGATCGCGGACTGCCCTGCGGCCTCGAGCTGCTTCGTGAGCATGGCGATCTGCACCTCCTTCTGCTCGAGCTGGGCGCGCAGGCTGCCGGGCCCGACGTCGTGCTCCTCGCGCCGCCGCAGCGCGGCCGCGCGCGGCGACAGCGGCGACGCGGCCTCGCCGCGGCGCCGCCGCTCGGGCGAGCTGCCGAGGATCGCGTCGAGGAGCTCGACGCGGCCCGCGGCGCCGTCGGGCGAGACGACGCGCCGCGGCGGCGGCGGCGGCGCGCCGAAGTCGAGGCGCTTGGAGGTGGAAGAAGCGGCGCCGTTCGCGTCGCCGCAGGGGCGCCGCGGCCGCCGCGCCGTCACCGCGGGCACGGCCGCGGTGCGCGACGGCGCGAGCCAGGGCGGTTTCGCGTGCTTCGCCGACCGCGTCGACGAAGGCGGCGGCGGTTTCCGCGCCCGGGACGCGCGGGCGACGTTCTCGCGGACGTGGTCGCGCGGCGGCCGCCGGGTCGCCGCGCCCCGCGTCGCCGGGGCCCGCGCTTTCGGCGGCGGCGGCGGCGGCGGCGGCGAGGCCGGCGGCGGGCAGGACCGCTGGGCCAAGAAAAAGGAGTATTCGTCGAGAAACGTCGACTCGCTCGGCTTCACGCTCTGCCGCGGCCCTCCCTTCCCCTCGAGCTCGCGTTCCAGGCGGCGCCGGATCTTGGCGATCTCGCTCAGCGACGACCCCAGGGGCTGCGACGCCTCGTCGGCCATGACCTCGCGCCCGTCGCCGCGGGCCACGGACTCGAGCCAGGAGAGCTGGTGCTTGTGCGCCAGCTGGTAGAAGCGCAGGGCCTCGTCCATGGACGACCGCGACTCGGCCTGCCGGCCGAGCTCGATCATCTCCTCGGCGTGCGTGCGGCTGACCTTGAAGTCGCTCGACTGCGGCGGCGCGAAGCGGGCCATCGGCCACCCAGAGTGCCGATGACGACAAGGCGGTCGTTTGGAGCCTAGAGGAGCCCGATTTTCAAGCGTGGGGAAACAACGGCTTTTGGTAGTCAAGGGGCAGCCTTCCTAAAAAGTGTGATTCAGAGCGTGTGCACCGCTGCCGTCGTCGATTCAGATGGCTCGTCGCATCGTGCTCTCCGCTCTCGCAACGTCGCTGTCCGCGGCGTCGACGACGACGATCGACTGGAATGCCCAGTTCTCCGCGGATCCGAAGACGACGACCGTGGACGCCGACGCCGACCTGGTCTTTAGCTGGAGCGGCGGCCACGACGTGTGGATCATGGCGGACGAATTCTCCTACGAGGAATGCGACTTCAGCGGCGGCACGAACCTCGGCAGTTCGTCGGGCGTCGAGGTCAGCGCCCAGCCCGGCGAGACGGTCTACTACAGCTGTTCGCGCGCCGGCGTCCTGACTGAAACGACACCCACCGCCACAATTTAGGCTCCGTCGGCTCGCACTGCGCCGCCGGCCAGAAGGTCGCCGTCACCTGGGAGTCGGCTTCGGGCGCCGCGCCCGCGCCGACGGCGGGCCCCGCGCCGAGCCCGACGGCCGCGGCCGTTTCCTGCGCCGACGACGAGTCGTGGTACAAAAAGAACGCGCCGGCCAAGGACTGCGCCTGGGTCGCGAACCTCCCGGAGGACCGCTGCGGCGCGAAGGGCGACGATTCCCAGGCGTGGCAGAGCTGCCCGGTGACCTGCGGCACGTGCGCCTACGACTGCGCCGACGGCGGCGACTCGGACACGTGGCACAAGAACGGCGACGACTCGAAGGATTGCGCGTGGGCGAGCGCCGGCGCGTCGTTCATTCCCGATGGACTCGACCCGATGGACAAACCCGATGGACAAACCCGATGGACAAACCCGTAGGTCGTGGGTTTTTACTACAACCGGGCGTCGGTCATCGGCGAGGACGGGTCCCTCGCCTACGAGGCGTGCCCGTCGGCGACGCGTCGCTGCTACTACGACGGCTACGACGACTCCGAGACCTGGGCGAAGAGGGACCAGCCGTGGAAGGATTGCGCCTGGGCAGCGGAGGCGATGAGCCGCTGCATCGCCATCGGCGAGGACGGCTCCTACGGGTTCGAGAGCTGCCAGGCCGCGTGCCTCATCGGCAAGTACGCCGACTCGGAGTCTGGCGACGACGACGCGTGGGCCAAGAAGAACAGCCCGTCCAAGGACTGCGCCTGGGTCGCGAACGACGCGCCGGCGCGGTGCTCCGTCAAGGGCGAGGACGACTCCTGGGCGTTCCAGAGCTGCCCCGACGCGTGCACCATCGTCAACTTGTAGTGCATGAATCCCTCACTTAAACCAGTTGACTTAAACTGACTCCGCGCCGATGCGCGGAACTTCGCGCGTAGGCAGCCCGCAACAGCGACGACGCTGGTGCTGAAGCCAATGGCTCCGCGGCGTGTGCTCGTCGCGGCTCTGACGACGTCGCTGTCCGCGGCGTCGACGACGACGCTCGATTGGGTCGCCCAGTTCTCCGCGAACCCCAAGACGGCGACGATGGGCGCCGACGCGGACCTCGTCTTCTCCTGGACGGGCCACCACGACGTCTGGGAGATGGCCTCGGAGAGCGCCTACGAGGCCTGCGACTTTGGCGGCGGCGCGTACCTCGGCGCGGCGACGGGCGTCGCGGTGGCCGCGCGACCGGGCGAGACGGTGTTTTACTCGTGCTCCGTCGGCGCGCACTGCATCGCCGGGCAGAAGGTCGCCGTGACCTGGGACGCGCCGCTTGCGACGCCGGCGCCGTCGAAACGACCGACGCCGGCGCCGACGCCGCCGCCGACGCCGCGGCCGACGTGGGGATCCTCAG